GCGAGTCTCGAACCCACGGGCTCAGGCAATCCACTCACCTCAGCCTCTCAAAGCGCGGAATTACAGGCTGAGCCACCGAGCCCGGCTAAGATGCCTATTTTTTATGTGAGTTTTGTTAATTGTCTTTTTTTGTTGTTGTTACTGAGTTGGAGTCTCACTCTGTCGCCCAGGGTGGAGGGCAGTGGCATGATCGCAGCTCACCTCAGCCTTGGCTTCCTGGGCTCTAGTGATCCTTCCGCCTCAGCCTCCCAAGTAGCTGGGACCACAGGCAAACACCACTACGCCTGGCTAATATTTTTTTTCATAGAAACAAGGTCTCACTATGTTGCCTAGACTGATATTTAACTCCTGAAATCAAGCAATCCTCTTGCCTTGGCCTCCCAAAGTGCTTGGATTATAGGTGTGAGCCTCCACATCCAATTGTGTATTTTCTATGTTGCAAATATCTCCTCTATATTATATATATTACAAAGTTGCATATATTACAACTTAAAATGTGTGTTAAAGTCTTGTCTCTATTCTTTTCTAGGCTTATTCATAAAGGAGAAATGGGAAGCATTTGGTCTTAGACTCAACCATGCCCAGCAACAGATGAAAATGACTGAAAATGCCCTATTGTTTGCATTTGTAGAGGTATTCTTAGTTATTTAAGTTAAGGGAATGTTGATTTGATGCAAAATGTGTGTTTTAGGTGGATTATTATTATTATTATTATTATTATTATTATTTTTATTTGAGTTGGAGTCTCACTCTGTCACCCAGACTGGAGTGCAGTGGCCGCTCCCGGCCACCGCAGCCTCGACCTGCTGGGCTCTGGCGATCCTTCTGCCTCAGCCTTCCAAGTAGCTGGAATTACAGGCATGCCCTACCACGCCCGGCTGATTTTTTGATTTATTGTAGAGATGAGGTCTTGCCAAGTTGCCCAGACGGGTCTTGAACCTGCGGGCTCGGGAAATCTACTCACCTCAGCCTTCCAAAGGCACGGGATTACAGGCTGAGCCACCGAGCCCGGCTTAGGTGGATTATATGTATTCTTATGGATATCTTTGTTTGTTTTTTTATTTTATTATTTTTTTTGAATTGGAGTCTCACTCTGTCGCCCAGACTGGAGTGCAGTGGCCGCTCCCGGCCACCGCAGGCTCGACCTGCTGGGCTCCGGCGATCCCTCCACCTCGGCCTTCCGAGTAGCTGGAATTACAGGCATGTGCTACCATGCCCAGCTGATTTTTTGATTTATTGTAGAGATGAGGTCTCGCTGCCCAGGTGGGTCTCAAACCCGCGGGCTCAGGCAATCCACTCACCTCAGCCTCCAAAAGCGCAGGATTACAGGCTTAACTACTGAGCGTGGCAATCCTCAGCCTTCTTACTAGCTGGAACTACAGGCACATGCCGCCAAACCTGGCTAGTTTTTTGATTTATTGTAGAGACAAGTCTCGCCAAGTTGCCCAGGTTGGTCTTGAACCCCTGAGCTCAGGTAATTCTCTCGCCTCGGCTTCCCAAAGTGCTGGGATTGCAGGCTTGAGCCAACGTGCCAGGCCAGATCCCTTTATACTTTTTTTTTGAGTTGGAGTCTCACTCTGGCACCCAGACTAGAGTGCAGTGGCCGCTCCTGGCCACTGCATCCTCGACCTGCTGGGCTCCAGCGATCCTTCCACTTCTGCCTTCCAAGTAACTGGAACTACAGGCGCGCGCTGCCACACCCAGCTGATTTTTGATTTATTGTAGAGATTAGGTCTTGTCAAGTTGCCCAGGCAGGTCTCGAACCTGTGGGCTCATGCAATCCACTCATCTCCCAAAATGCTGGGATTACAGGCTGAGCCACCGAGCCTGGCCTTTTATACTTTTTAAGAAGTTGACTTGGTGACCGGGCGTAGTAGCTCATGCCTGTAATTTAATTCCAGCACTTTGGGAGGCCAAGGCAGGCAAATTGTTTGAATAATCAGAAGTTTGAGACCAGCCTAAACAACATAGTGAAATCTTATCTCTACAAAACATAAAAAATATTAGCCGGATTTGGCATTGTGTGTCTGTAGTCTTACCTACTTGGGATGCTGAGGTAGAAGGATCTCCTAAGCCCAGGAAGTTGAGGCTGCTGTGAGCTATGATTGTCGTGATCATGCTGTTGCGCTTCAGCCTGGGACCCCAACTCAAAAAAATAAATAAATGAAAAGTTAGCTTGGCCTCAACTCTTCCTATCTATTGGGGAGTTAAGGTGAAAGTTCACCAGGCAGGAAAGATTTGCCTTGCTTCTATTTCTAACCCTGCTTGCATAAGTGCTCTTGGTGAGTGTGCCTTTATTTGACATGTATTCTTAACATTTTAATTTATCTTCTAGGGTACATTAGCTCAGGCTATAAAGAAGGGAGAGTGGATCTTGTTGGATGAGATTAATCTGGCTGCTCCAGAAATTTTAGAATGCCTGAGTGGTTTACTTGAAGGATCTTCTGGATCCCTGGTGTTGCTGGATCGAGGAGATACAGGTATTACCTGAGCCATTTGGGATGTGATTTGGTGTCAAGCTTTTTGGCCCCTTTAGGGTGAGATTCTTTGGTCTGGTGGATTACATGGGCCTCCCAATGAAATTTGTTCGTTCCTTAAATATAAATTCTCTGCAAAGTGCATTGAACTATTGTTATGGTATATGGGGAATGCAAAAAAAAATGTGATATTTTTCAGTGTATTTGGGTTATGGGTAACAGACACGTATACTGTGACAAAATATATATGGGTTAATGGGTGATTAAAAAGTAACAGTGATTAAATTTCTCGTAAAAGACTGTGGAACTGCAACATGAGATTAGGTTGTATACATTGGTCTGGAAGGTGATTTCACTGGGGCTTCAGCAAAGGCAAGGATGGTGTGAGCAATGGCACCAGGCTGGCAAGGGCCCAGGCAGGCCTGCTGGGTCTGAGATTCTGTGGAGCCTTGCCCTAGGATCTGCGGCTGATCACTTGATTGTTACAAGTTGTCGAGAGTTTATCATGTTCTCTTGACAGAGCCCCTGGTTCGTCATCCTGACTTTCGTTTATTTGCCTGCATGAATCCAGCAACTGATGTAGGCAAAAGAAATCTCCCACCAGGAATAAGAAGCAGGTGAGAGTATGGTTCTTGAAGACTTTTTAAAGAGGTCTCTTTATTTATCAATTGGCAGTAGTGTCCTAACTGAACTTTAGATCAGTGATTAAAATTTCTTGGCCTCTGATGGAGGAATCTTGGTTTCCTTATTTTTCATATTCCTCTACTTCCTGCATGTGGTCGAAACTCCAAAATATGGGACAATATTTTTCTTTGCATTAATAGTATGGCTCATGGATGTTGTTGAAAATGTCTTTCCTTCCTCAGATAGCCTTTTTTTTTTTAGAAATCTTTCCTATACACTGTGCCCCAGTCACATATGTATCAATGAATTTCAGGAACACAGTCCACTTTGGATGAGACTCATGATCTATAAAAGGCCTTTGAAGTGTCTTTCATTTTTCATCACTCAGCACTGACATGAATAAAGTACCTAGTTACTGGTGTTTTATGTATGTTACATTTGGGAAATGATAAGTGACTAGATTTATTCTTGGCAAACTTTTGTTTCATTTTGGGTTTCAAAATTATGTTAAAAGGTTCCTTTAAAGGATCCTTTCCCTCTATGAAAGTAGTCAACAATTCTACATTAAAGAAACTACATTAAAGGAATTATTATCTCTTACTATAGTCATTTATTTTTTATGGTGAAGGGGCTTATTTTTTGTTGCACTTATTTCGTTTCCATGTTGTGATGATAAAAACCTTCTGAAAATAAAGAAAAGTCTTATTTTTGTCACTATTTCTTCTCATAAGGACCTTATCTAGAAGACTTATTGCATAGAAGTAGTCGTAGTAATGGAGTATTTTTGGTAATGGTTGCATTATCTTTTATTTCATTATGATCTTTTCATATCTCAAGTTGAAAGACTTACAGTTTATACTACAGGCAGTTAAAATGAGGTGATGTAACATCCGTTTCAAGTTTTTCTGTTAGCATAGCTGTATTCCTAAAAAATGATTATTATGTAATTGTTGTCTTATAGATTCACAGAACTTTATGTAGAAGAATTAGAAAGTAAAGAAGACTTACAAATTCTTATTGTGGATTATCTGAAAGGATTGAGTGTGCACAAGACCACAGTGCAAGGAATCATAAAGTATGTTCTCTCTAGTGTGTCTTTATAAACTTTTTCTGTACATGTGTTCTTCATGCACTTGCACACATATATTTTTCGATTTTGTTGTTTGCTTCTCACGTGAGAATTTTGATGGAAGGATTACTTAGATTCTGTTTTAATGTTGGCACCTGTATGAAGTCCCTCAGATTTTTCTAAGGAAAATAGAAACCTGTGAGTCACTACCTATGAGAATATGTAAGCAATCAGACAGTGCTCTCCTGATTACCTCAGTGTTCATAGCTAAGAGTTTGAGTTCTTGGAGAGATGTAAGTAGCTTGCATTTTGATCTGTCTTCATGAAGTTTTTTGTATTTGTAGTATTCATATTAGCTATGTAGATTGTAGAAGGAAAAAATTTAATATTGTTGCTCGTGTCAGGTTTAGAATTAATAGATACTTAGTATAATAAAGAATACTGTGGTTGTGTGGCTTGATGCTTTGAGTCAGTTTTTCATGTTTTTTGTTTGCCATATGGAAAGAGTGCAGTCCTTTGTGTGCCACTACCTCGAGTCTGCTACTGGGTCTCTGAGAAACAAATTGTATCATTCTAGGGATGTGACTTATGTAACTTTTTCTTTGTCCTCTATAAAGAAATACTTTATATAAAGGAGCTGAAATAGAATCATATTAGTGTGTCACTGCATTTTGTGCTTTCTTTTTTTTTTTTGGTCAGAGTCTCACTGTGTCACTCAGGCTGGAGTGCATTGGCATGCTCATGACCACTGCGGATTCGACCTGCTGGGCTCAGGTGATCCTTCTGCTTCAGCTTTCCAAGTAACTGGAACCACATATGCGTGCTACCATGACTGGCTAAGTTTTTAATTTATTGTAGAGATGAGGGTTTGCCAAGTTGCCCACATGGGTCTCGAACACCTGGACTCAGGCAGTCTTCCCGCCTCTGTCTCCCAAAGTGCTGGAATTACAGGCGTGAGCCACCGTGTCTAGCAGGAACTTAGATTTCATCTATGACACATACTTGGTTACGTTTGACCTTGTGGTGTTAGTTAATGATGAATTGCACAAAATGTTGAAGTGCAAGGAGTTTATGTTTCTGTCTGAAACATTTTCTGTCTTGTTATGTGGACTTTTAAAACGTGGTAGTGCTAATAGTCATGGCCATCATACCTTCCCCACCCTTGGACATTTTGTCAGCTCTGTTTCTGGCCATTTCTGTAGCGTTTCAAAACACTGTTAGTTCTGTTTTTTCATCACCATTATAGATTAGACGGGAGCTGCATTTACTCCTCAAGTTAGAGCTAACTCAGGAACACAGAAGCTTCTCACCTCTCTCTATCAGTACCTTTTTGCTAGAGGAATTGCACCTCATACTTTCCCGTTTCCCATGGGAGTAGATTCGTCTTCATTTTATTATTTTGAAATACAGCTTCTCAGTGTATGAAAAGTAGATTTAGGCCGGGCTCAGTGGCTCAGCCTGTAATCCCATCACTTTTGGAGACTGAGGTGAATGGATTGCCTGAGCCTGTGGGTTCAAGACCAACCCGGGGAACTTGGCAAGACCTCGTCTCTACAATACATCAACAAATTAGCTGGGTGTGGTAGTGCATGTCTGTAGTTACTGCTACTTGGAAGACTGAGGCTGGGGCCCAGAAGGTGGTCGCTGGGATGAGTGAGACTCCAACACCCCCCCCCAAAAAAAAAGAAAGAGAAAAATAGATTTAGATGTTTTAATGTGTGCTCTAGGATGTTATATTTAAGCCTGACCATTTCTGACCTAATAATATGTCCTTTGGGTCTTCGGTAGAGAAGTGAAAACAATAAATTCTTATTCATAAATAAAATTGCCTGAACTTGTTCTCTTCATAGCTTCTACACAGCTTTGCGAAAAGCGTCTGGAACCACATTGGTGGATGGGACCGGCCATAGACCTCATTACAGCCTTCGGACTCTCTGCAGGGCCCTGCGATTTGCAGCCTCCAATCCATGTGGCAGCATCCAGCGGTCACTCTATGAGGTCTTGCTAAAGTCTTTTTTGTCTTAGGAACTTGATGGATGGGGTCGCCTTGGGAAGGAGGGCATGGGGGTGCATATGCCAGGTTTACCTGTGCTTCAGGCAGATTAGCCCAGCATACTTCATGCCAGAGCTGCCCCGACCTTGACCTACCGCTGTATCACACTTGCAAGTTGGGAAGCAGCACCACCCAAGAAGTTAAATGTTCCTGAAATGAATTGGGTGACTGTTGCAGAAGGGTAATGAGTGTTGTGCATGTTTTTTTTTTTCTTTCTAGGGCTTTTGTTTGGGTTTCTTAACACAGCTTGACAGGGCATCACACCCGATAGTTCAAAAGCTCATTTGTCAACACATTGTCTCTGGCAATGTCAAAAGTCTACTGAAGCAGGTAAGTTATTGTTTTGATTCTTTGAATTTTTGACAAAGTGAAAGGCTGAATTATCAATTTTTAGCTGGTTTGTTGTTTTTTTTTAAACAAAATCTCTTTCTAAATATAAAAGTAATCTGTTGCAAAAAGTTTAAACATTAGGCTGGGCTCGGTGGCTCAGCCTGTAATTCCAGCACTTTGGGAGGCCGAGGTGAGTGGATTGCCTGAGCCCGCGGGTTCGAGACTCTCCTGGGCAACTTGACAAGACCTCATCTCTACAATAAATCAAAAAATCAGCCAAGCGTGTTAGCATGCGCCTGTAGTTCCAGCTACTTGGAAGGCTGAGGCGGAAGGATTGCCGGTGCCCAGCAGGTTGAGGCTGCGGTGGCCAGAAGTGGCCATTGCACTCCAGTCTGGGTGACAGAGTGAGACTCCAACTCAAAAAAAAAAAAAAAGTTTAAACATTACAGAAATGTATGTTTTAGGTGGTAAGGGTTTTTAATAATTGTACTCTTTGGAGATTTAAATCCTGTAGCTAATTCTTTCCAGCTAAATTGTAATGTATATATTTAATTTTTCTATATATTCATATTTTGGTATGTGTGTATTGATTTGTTGAGGTAAATTCTAATGTGTATTTAAGTAAAATAAGTGAGACCATCTCATAAAAATATCCTGTAGCTTTCCTTTTTGATCTAAGTGTGTCTTGGCTATATTTTTATTTTTGTAACAGATTATTGTGACTTGCTTTCTAATAGCCACATACATTTCATTGGATGGTTCCACAGTGGTTTATCTAAACTGTCTGCATAGTTTAACTACACATACTTATCCACAGTCTCTACCTTCTGATTGGTGGCTGGTTTTTTTTTTTTGAGTTGGAGTCTCACTCTGTCGCCCAGACTAGAGTGCAGTGGCCACTGCCGGCCACCGCAGCCTCGACCTGCTGGGCTCCAGCGATCCTTCCGCCTCAGCCTTCCCAGTAACCGAATTACGGGCGTGTGCTACCATGCCCGGCTGATTTTTTGATTTATTGTGGAGATGAGGTCTCACCAAGTTACCCAGGCAGGTCTCGAACCTGTGGACTCAGGCAATCCACTCACCTCAGCCTCCCAAAGGCGCGGGATTACAGGCTGAGCCACCGAGCCCGGCTTGGTGGCTGGTTTTTTTGGAAGAGGGAGGGGCCACTGTTGTAGACAGTCCTTTGACTTTGACAGAGAAAATTGGAGAATAGCAAGGGACTGAAAGAGGCTGAGAGAAACTGGCTCACCAACTGGCTTGTGTGCATGTTGATTGCTTGTTCATTGGGAAGAGAGGGCCTTGGGACTTGGGGTTACTTTGGATTCAGCCATTTAAAAAATTATACAAGTAACACATGAAAAAATACTTCTGATAAACTGTGAAAACATTGAGAAAAGACTCAGGTTTTTCTCAAAATTTGACTTTTGTCATAATCAAATGGGTGTCTCCTCTAGTTGCTCATTTTGTGTGTGTTCTTCATGGTATGACAGAAGCCTAGAGAGCTTTTCTTCCCACTGTGCCTCAACTCAACTTAGGAGCCCTGAAAAGCAGGCCCAGGATTGCAGCTTCAAACCTGGGGACCCAGTGTTCTAGAAGATAACTTTTTAGTAGTTACAGATTTGACCACCATTTCATCGCTTTTGATTTATAAAAATGTTCATGCTATGTTCATATTTCGCCCATGGGTTTTAATGTTCAGAGCAACTAAAACTTGACCGCATCCTTGGTGACAACTTTGTTTTCTACTTTATGCGCCTCTCTGAAAGAATGCCGTAGTTGTCTTGCAATTATGTATGATCTCTCCAACTTTTGTGGCTTTTAGCCTATTCCAGAGCCAAAAGGAGGTCGTCTTATCCAAGTCGAAGGCTATTGGATTTCAGTGGGAGACAAGGAGCCTACAATAGATGAGACATACATTCTGACATCTTCTGTGAAACTCAACCTGAGAGATATTGTCCGAGTGGTCTCCGCAGGGTGTGTGGGCCTTTTCTCTCACTGCTCTGAAGTTTCAACAAGTGTAGACACTGATGACATCCTGGTCTAATGTCCTTAACATTCAGAGCTTTATTCTTACTCATTGGCCAACTGAATAATTACTTTCTAATGTTAGTACTATGATTTTCCTCCTCGCACAAAGCATTGTTTCTATTGTGCCTTTAGAGCAATATGGATGCAGACAATTTGGGCCATGTTTAAAAGTGTTATTTATTTATTTTTGTTGAACAGTACTTATCATAAGCTCTTTGGTAAGTGGAGTAACAGTCACTTCTACTTACCATTTCTCACAAGTGTTGTCAAAGGGGCTGAGATTGCTTTCCTCAGTATTTTCTCTTTTTTTTTTTTTTTGAGTTGGAGTCTCACTCTGTTGCACAGACTGGAGTGCAGTAACATACTCATGGCCACCGCATCCTCTACTTGCTGGGCTCAGGTGATCCTTCTGCCTCAGACTTCCATGCCCATCTAATTTCTTTTGATGTATTGTAGAGACAATATCTTGCCACGTTGCCCAGGCTGGTATCATACTCCTGGGCTCAGGCAGTCCTTTCACCTCCGCCTCTCAACGTGCTGGCATTATAGGCATGAGCCACTGAGCCCAGCTAGTATTTTCTGAGGGCCAATTTTACATAGAAAATTTTCAGTGTATAGATATATAAAAATGCTTTTTTATGATGGTGTAAAATGATATAGTTATTCTTTATAAAATACTGTTCAAATCAATTCTGGTTTCTCTGTTTTGTTCTGATTTTTTCTTTATTTGCTGATCTTTTACAGAACCTATCCAGTGCTCATTCAGGGAGAGACATCAGTTGGTAAAACGAGCCTGATCCGGTGGCTGGCTGCAGCTACCGGCAATCACTGTGTGCGTATTAACAATCATGAACACACAGATATTCAGGAGTACATTGGGTGTTACACATCCAACTCTTCAGGGAGGCTTGTCTTTAAAGAAGGTATTGTTAATGTTCTATTCCATGGATGTGGGTATTCTTTCTTTTAGACCCATTTCTCTAGGTAGCATTCTTTATTCTTTCCAGTTGAGGTGCATGACCCTCTGTCATTACAGCTGGTTTTTCTTTGCCCATGAACTGTAGACAGTTAAGGGTGCTGCTTAGGGGGCTGCCTTCCTTTAGGTCCTGCTAATCTTGCGGAATAGCCGAGGACTAGGGCTGAATTTTGAAGAGGGCATTTGAACTGCTGCTTCATTTCCCAGAGAGTCAAAGAATGAGGTGAGCGTTAGACAGAAAGATCTTGGGAATAGATATGAGAATGTGATGATTTAAAGGTAATGAGACTTCAGGGAAAATATTAAACAAGTTGGAAATGAATTGTCAGCCCTGGCTTCTGGGGGGGGAAAAAGGGTCTATCTTAATAGAAAATTGTGCCAACTTGGTTTACAATGTTACAATTTGTTTAGTGGCAAGACTAGCTGGAGATGGTAATTTGCTTTGAAATATATTGATAATCTGGGATGTGTTGATTTGTATGTACATGACACATTTAAAACATTTGGACTAATTCGTACACTAATTCTCGGTGTTTGTTTCCTCCTAGGTGTTCTTATTGATGCTATGAGAAAGGGCTACTGGATTATATTAGATGAATTAAACTTGGCCCCTACCGATGTGTTAGAGGCGCTGAACAGGCTGTTGGATGATAACCGTGAATTGCTCATAACGGAAACACAAGAAGTTGTTAAAGCACATCCTAGGTTCATGCTTTTTGCCACTCAGAATCCCCCAGGACTTTATGGAGGCAGAAAGGTGTGTAGGATTTGTACCTCTACTTCAGTTTATTACCACATTAAGTTGCAAATTTTTCTTGGTAGGAATGAGAGATTTTACGACTGTTGAAGGATTTTTCTTTTTTTGGTGAATGGCAGAGCCTCCATTTTGGAAATCAGACTCCTTTCACCATGTTTTTTGTGTACTTTGTCCAGGTTCTTTCGAGAGCCTTCAGGAATCGGTTTGTGGAATTGCACTTTGATGAATTACCTAGTTCTGAATTGGAAACAATCTTGCACAAGCGGTGTAGTTTGCCACCCTCCTATTGCAGCAAGTTGGTTAAAGTCATGCTGGACCTTCAGGTATCTCATTTCCTTACACTGAATTAAGTTTCATTTGGAATGTGTTGATTAGATTTGGCAAGCAAAATGTGGCAGCTTTTTTTGGGTGGAAGCAATGCCCATTTATTTATTTTTCAGAGTAAAGATCTTTTGAATGGACTTCATTAATAGCTGTTTTTTGTTTTCTTTTATAAATAATTTTACATAAAATTTCTCTATATTTATATATGATGATAGTTGCCTACTTGTATACTTTACTGGCGTATTTTATTTAGGATGGAATTTGGCATAGGGAAACTAGAATTTGAGTTTTTAAGTGGATATAGTCCTTGAATGGACATAGTCAGAGACTCTTTGTGGAAATAGATGGAAAAAAATTTGGAAAATAAATGGAAGTAAATAATTTCATTTATTTTGTAGGGTTAAACTGTTGACTTTCTAGAAAGCCAACACTCTTACCATTATGGTCCTACATTGTTGGACTATTCTTCCTGCATCTTTGGCACCATTGTACTCTTCTTTGTATTGCTTTTTGTAATCTTTTTCTGTGTGGCATATGAAATACAGTTTTTGGTTGTTTGTCTGCGTTCTTTATGGACACGAGTTTGAACAGTTCAGATGATTACAGTTCATTTACCTTTTTTCTTTTTTTTCCTTCCTTATAAGGGTCTTGCTTTTTTTCTGGGCTGGGTGCAGCGGTGTGATCATAGCTCGCTGCAATATAGAACTCCTGGACTCAGGTGATCCTCCCACCTCAGCCTCCTGAGTAGCTGGTACTACAGGCACATGCCACCACATGGGGCAAATTTTTTATATTTGGAGAGACTAAAGTCCCACTATGCTGCCCAGGCTGGTCTTGAACTCCTGGCCTCAAGTGATCCTCCTGCATCAGTCCTCTTACATGGCAGGATTACTGGTGTGAGCCACTGTGCCTGGCCTGCAGTCCATTTATTTAAAACAAAATTAATCTTATTCAGTAAAATGAAATTATTTCATTAGGAGCTTCAATTTGCTAGGAATTTTATATAAGCTGTACTTCAGTCTTACCACTGAGTGCAGCCAATGCTCTTTTCCATTTGTCTGGATACTTTAATAGTCCTATCGCAGAAGTTCTTCAGTGTTTGCTGGAAAGCATGGCTTCATCACCCTTAGGGATCTCTTCCGATGGGCTGAAAGATACAGATTGGCTGAGCAGACTGAGAAGGAATATGACTGGCTACAGCATTTAGCCAACGATGGTATGTGTTCAATCAAGTGCACTCACAGTATTAAGTTATGTTAAATGTCAAACTTTTTGTTAAAATAAATTTTGCCTCAAATTGTGGTTGAAATATACATTTGACTCAGTATTCCAGGGAACCTGTGCCCGTCAAGTCCTAACTGATTTGTAAGTGAGCCTGTTCCTGCAGGCCTTTATGCTAGTAGGGGTTGGTTGCTAAGGTTTTCTTACTCTCCTTCAGGTGGCCACATGTGTGAGTCAGGATATGGGCAAAGCCTCTTGGGGAGTTTAGGCAGGTAGTTTGTGGTAACTGTGTGGACCGTTTGTCTGCAATGTGATCACCAGATAGTATTGCTTGTGCCTTAGAGATAGACAGAAAGTGGATATGTCAGAAAATTTTGGGTTTCTAAGAGAAGGCAGTATGTCACCTGAGACTCGAGTCTGGTCATTTTTGTTTAATCTGTGGTAATAATTTGTTATTGTTCATGCTAGGATAGAAAGTATATTAGAATCTTCTAAATTGACAAGTGCTGGTGTTTCATTAATGAGCTAGTTAAGAAGAAGGGCGGGCACGGTGGCTGAAGCCTATGATCCCAACACTTTGGGAGGCCGAAGTGAGAGGATTGCCTGAGCTCAGGGGTTTGGGACCAGCCTAGGCAACTTGGTGAGACCTCATCTCTATGGTAAATCCAAAAATTACCCAGGCGTTGAAAGACTGAGTTGGAAGGATCGCCTGAGGCCAGCAGGTTGAGGATGCGGGGCCTTTGATCGTGCCACTGCACTCCAGCCTGGGCAACAGAGTGAGACTCCAACTCAAAAAAAAAAAATAAAGAAGAATACATAAAACTAGTGGAGAGTTTTGTTTTCTTTACTTGCACATAGAGGAATACATGAAAAGTTTTTGAAAATGAAGGTACAACATGCAGTAAAGGAGGGTTCCCCCAGCCCTGGGCCATGGACTGGCACCAGTCGGTGACCTGTGAGGAATCTGGCCGCACAGCAGGAGGTGAGCAGCAGGCGAGCTCTGTCTCCTGTCAGATCATTGGGAGCCCGCTCATTATTTGCTTTACCCCTTCCATTCATGCCTCTCTCTTTTTTTTAAATGGTGCGTTGTATAATTGTTTCATTATTATTTCAATATAATAATAGAAATAAATTAGACAATAAATGTTATGCATGCTTGAATCATCTTGAAACCATCTCCCCCTCCCCTGTCTGTGGAAAAACTATCTTCTCCTAAACCGGTTCCTGGTGCCAAAAAGGCTGGGGACCACTGCAGTGAAGCGTTTCACAAAGGCATGTACTTGTGTAAATTACCACCTAGGCCAAGAGTTAGAACATTTCCAATATCTCAGTAGGTCCTTTCTTGTCTCTAACCACTACTGTGACTTCTGTCACCACTGAATGATCTTGCCTGTGCTTGGGCTTTATCGGTATAGGACCTTGTGGTATTTGCTCTTTGGTATGTGATGATCCATTGAGTGGAGATAGCACAATTTGTTTATCCATTCTCTTGGTGATGGACATTTAGACAGGGTCTTTCTCTGTCACGCAGACTGGGGGGCAGTGGAATAGTCATGGCTCACTGTAACCTCGGACTCTTGGGCTTATGTGATTCTTCTCAGCGTCCCAAGTAGTCAGGATTTCAGGTGTGTACCACCACACTTGCCTAGATTTTTAAATTTCTTTTTAAGAGACAAGGTCTCACTATATTGTTTTGGTTGGTCTCAAATTCCTGGCCTCAAGTGATCTTCCTGCCATAGCCTTTTGAATAGGTGGGATTACAGGAGTAAGCATCATGTATGGCTGGATCATTTTTACTTTTTAGCTATTGTCAGTAAAGCTGCCTTGAATATTTGTGCAGGTATCAGGTACACATGTGTTCATTTGTGTTTGTGGATACCTTCAAGTCATATTGCTGGGGCATAGGGTAAACATGTTTAGTTCTAAAAGGCCATCCCGTTTTCCAAAGTTGTTATTTAGATTTCCACTCCATCAGCAACATATAAGAGTTGATATTACTCTATATTTATTCTTTTTTTTTTTTTTTTTGAGTTAGAGTCTCATTCTGTCGCCCAGACTGGAGTGCAGTGGCCACTCCCGGCCTCCGCAGCCTCCCCTGCTGGCCTCCAACGATCCTTCCGCCTCAGCCTTCTGAGTAGCCGGAATTACAGGCATGCGGTACAATGCCTGGCTGATTTTTTTTTTGATTTATTGTAGAGATGAGGTCTCACTGCCCAGGTGGGTCTCGAACCCGCAGGCTCAGGCAATCCACTCATCTCAGCCTCCCAAAGACGCGGGATTTACAGGCTGAGCCACCGAGCCCGGCTTCCATATTTATTCTTAACTTCTCTTGTTGTTTTCAGTAGACATTTGATGATTCTTTTTTTTGAGTTGGAGTCTCACTCTTGTCGCCCAGGCTGGAGTACACAGTGGCATGCTCATGGCAACCGCAGCCTTGACCTGCTGGGCTTAGGTGATCCTTCCACCTCAGCCTTCCAAGTAGCTGGAACTATGTCACCATGCCCGGCTAGTTTTTGTGATTTACTGTAGAGACGAGGTCTCACCAAGTTGCCTCGGCTGACCTCAAACCCTTGGGCGCAGGCAGTCCTCTTGCCTCAGCCTCCCAAAGTGCTGGGATTACAGGCTAAGCCACTGTGCCTGGCCCACCTGATGATTCTTTTCCTCTTCTTTCCCCCTTAGGTTTCATGCTTCTGGCAGGCCGAGTCAGGAAGCAGGAAGAGGTGGATGTGATTCAAGAAGTCCTTGAGAAACATTTCAAGAAAAAATTGTGTCCTAAATCTCTTTTCTCCAAAGAAAATGTTCTCCAGTTGCTGGGTGAGTAGGCCAAAAACTCCAGAGGACTATGAATTGAATTGTACTCATTAGAACCTAAATATTTATTCTCCTTTTGATAGGTAAATTGTCTACTCAGACATCCACATTGGAGTCTAAGTTCAGCCACATCGTGTGGACTGAGGGCATGCGGAGACTGGCAATGCTGGTGGGAAGGGCATTGGAATTTGGTGAACCAGTTCTGCTGGTTGGAGACACTGGGTAACGTTCTGTGACAGTAACTGGTTGTTCAGGGTTCCTTTCACTTCCATGGGATTACTTGCGTTGTCTCTAAAGGAGTCATGAAAACATGTTTCCCCCCCTTTCCCTCCTTTCCTCTTTTTTCTTTTTTTGATGAAGCAGTTAAGGGACCTACTATGGTTTACTTTCTTCTTCCTTAATACTAGATACCTTGTTGATAGAATATAATGATTTTTTGCATCATTTTTAGTGGGGCTGTTTTTGTTTATTCAGCCCCCAACCCCAACCCTGAGATTCATTTTGTAGGTGTGTAGAGAAGGGCAAATAAGCCAGTGCCTCTTGAAAGTCTGTTGTAGGACTAGGTGAGGATGGAATTCATGCAGTGCAAGTCTTGTGGATAAGGAACAGGGGACGACCTTAGCTGGGTATGCAGAGGACTTGCCTTGGCTAGCACTGTCTGCTGCAGCAGTGAGGCTCTATCCTCTGGCTCTTCAGTTTTGTTGATGGGAGTATTGTTGGTGTATATTTGGAACACATACCTTGTTAATTTGTTGCATATCTGTAACAGGTGTGGAAAAACTACTATCTGTCAGGTGTTTGCAGCCTTGGCAAACCAGAAATTATACTCAGTCAGCTGTCACTTACACATGGAGACATCAGACTTCCTCGGTGGGCTGCGGCCAGTGAGACAGAAGCCAAAGGACAAGGTTTGTCCAGTAGCAAATGTTGATGTGTTCATTTAAGGAACTGCATTTGGCTGTTTATATGAGGAAGCTATGGGATTTTGCTCATAGTGGGGTTTCTGGATCCATGTTCTGGTGAGGTTATATATGCATATCTTTAGATTTTTCACTGGTAGACAGGGCCCTTCTAAAACATCCTGATGTGCAGGTTCTGAATGACTACTTTACCCTGGTAGGCACCAGCCACTTCCTGGATATTGTCTTGTGGAACCACCTGACTTTTAATTTCCCCCACTTCTTTTCCCAATTATAGGAAGAAATGGACACATCAAGACTGTTTGAGTGGCATGACGGGCCTCTGGTTCTGGCCATGAAGGAGGATGGCTTTTTCCTTCTGGATGAGATCTCACTGGCTGATGACTCTGTCCTGGAAAGACTCAACAGGTACATACCTGAGAGACTTGCCTTGTATTTGATGTTTTTGTGGGTGTGATTTTTACAGATAAGTCTTGTGCACAGATGGTCCTTATAGGTCCATAATTAATGTTGATGTGTTACCACCTTGTTTGGCTTTGGCACTCAAGGTCTCCTTTAAGAGACTTAGATTTTCTTTTTGCTGTCAGTAATCAGAAGGATAGGACTGTGGGATGGCAGGGCTTAAACAAATGAGCCTAAGTTAAAATTCTTTTTTAAGTCTAGTTATTGCCTACTTTTTAAATATTTTGAATGAACTGGAATCAAAATCCTCTGTCTTATGGCTATAAGGCATCTCAAAACTTCAGACCAGTGTGAATCTTGATATAGTAACACGTATATTTTCTCTTAATTGAGGTATATTTACATATTATAAAATACAATTTGGTGAGTTTTAGTAAATGTACTGATCTAGTTAGAGCATTTCCATCATTCCGTTGGATCTCTCAAGCCCACTACACTTAATTTATGGTTCCACTCCCTCCCCAGCCAACCATTCACCTACTTGCTGCCTTGATAGATTTGTCTTTTCTGTTTATTTCATGTAAATGGGCTCCTCTCTCACTTTGCCTTTCTGTTTCGTGGCTCATTCATATTGCAGTATATGTTATTAGTTCCTTCTTATCCCTAATAGTATTAGAAATGTCACATCTTGCATATTCCTTCCCCAGTTTATGACATTTGGGTTGCTTCCGGTGTTTGGCTGTTATGAATAATGCTGCCATGAACATTTACTGGCAGGATATCCTTTTTAAGACAAATGCCTTAATAGGAAATAAGTGGGTAAAGGAGTTCTTTTCTCTTGATCAGAAATATCCCTCCATTACACAGAAATTGGGATTGTGAATTGTTTTAAAATTTGTGAAAGGAAACCATTAACTAAAGTGAAAACTCAGCAGAGAAGAGAACTTCTTTTAAAAAAGATCATCGAAGATCACAACATAGAAAGGATATATAAACCTTTTCTAATCTCCTCCAATTTTTTCTTTAGTGTCCTTGAAGTGGAAAAGTCTCTGGTATTAGCTGAAAAAGGCAGCCCAGAAGACAAGGATAATGAGGTAGAGCTGTTGGCTGCTGGGAAAAAATTTCGTATCTTAGCAACCATGAACCCCGGGGGCGACTTTGGAAAAAAAGAGGTAAAACTGTTTCCTGAAGCATAGTTTCTTGCTAGTTTTTCACCTCAGCTCACTGGTGCCCATAGATATAGTATGTAATAATGTGTCTGGAATTTTGTGTAGGATAAAAACTAGGTAAAAAGCAAAGATCCAAAAATATATTTTAGAATCATCATTAGGTTGAAAAAATAATTCGGACAGGTAAATACCAAGGAGGACCCCCAAAAAATCCAGAATTTTTTTTTGGAGGACAGACCCCATTTAGTATAGGCTTCTCCCTCTAAGTAGTGTTCTAGGAACCCATCAGCATCAGTGTATCAGCTAGCGTTGTTATAAGGGGCTGTGTTGAGCTTCAGTGAATTTTTTTGTGGCAAAAGGTGAATGATTCTTCCACCATGGCAACGTGCCTACCTGCACTGTGATGTTTTGACCAGATATGGCATGACTTCCATGTCCCACCTTCTTCCCTGTTAACCCAGTCTCGCCCCAAGTGACTTTTTTGTTTCTGTGGATGGAAAAAAGTCCTCAAAGGGAAACATTTTGCCGATGAGGAAGAGGAAAAACAAAAATTCACAGAAACACTAAAAGGCATCAAAATGGAAAAGTTCAAAAACTGTTTTGAGCAGTTGGAAAAGCATCTTGATATAGGTGTATTATCAAATGGAGAGTACTCTGAAGGTGACTGAAGTTTAAACATGTAAGAATAATGACACAGTTTTTTATAAGTTAATTCCAGGTGTTTTGGGGTCCCCCTTGTATTTCCCTGTTTGATGACTTACTTTGTGTATGTACCTGAAATATTTTCTGTCACTCTGCCTAGCTCTTTGTATATGTTGCCCCAACAGATGCTCACAAGATATTTGTATGACAGTCATTGCCCTTGTTTTATGACTGAGGGAACCTGGAACTGAAATATAAATTTCAGCTCTGCTTTTAGAGTTCATGTTCTCTCTTTTTTTTTTTTTTTGAGTTGGAGTCTCACTCCTTTGCCCAGGCTGGGTGCAGTGGCGCACACGTTCACGGCCACCCCAGCGTCGACCTTCTGGGCTCCAGCGATCATTCTGCCTCAGCCTTCCAAGTAGCAGTACTACAGATGTGCGTTACCATTCCCGGTTAATTTTTGACTTATTGTAGAGATAAGGTCTTGCCAAGTTGCCCGGGCTGTTCTTGAACCTGCGGGCTCAGGCAATCCACTTGCCTCAGCCCCGCGAAGTGCTGGGATTATAGGCTGAGCCACCGAGCCTGGCAGAGTTCGTGTTCTCAAACACTATTGGCTTTATGAGTCATGAGTGTTTGTTTTTTGTTTTGTTTTGTTTTTGTGTTGGAGTCTCACTCTCGTCACCCAGGCTGCAGTGCAGTGGCGTGCTCATGGCTACCGTAGCTTTGACTTGCGGGGCTTAGACAATCCTTCCACCTCAGCGTTTCAAGTAGCTGGAACTACAGATGCACACCACCACGCCCGGCTAGTTTTTTTTGTGATTTATTGTACAGACGAGGGCTCACCAAGTTGCCCAGGCTGGTCTTGAACCCCTGGGCTCAGGCAATCCTCTTGCCTTGGCCTTCCAAAGTGCTGGGATTACAGGCTGAGCCACCGTGCCTGGCCCTTTTTTTTTTTTTTTTTAAATAAAGAGATAGGGTCTTACTTTGTTGCCTAAGCTGGAGTACAGTGGCACATTCATGGCTTACTTTAGCCTTAGACTCGTAGACTCAAATGATTCTCCCATTCTGGCCTCCCAGTAACTGGGACTGTACGCACATGTTGCCACACCTGGCTTTATGAGTGGTTTTATTATTTTTATTTTATTTTGTATTGCTAGATATCAAGGAGAGATATGAGTTGTTTTAAAGTGACAAAAATATGGTCAGGCATGGTCACTTATGCTTGTAATCCTAGTACTTTGGGAATTTGAGGCCAGAGAATCTCTTGAGGACAGTAGTTCAAGACCAGCATGGCAACATAGTCAGACTACATAACAAAAATAAGTAAATAAAAATGTAATGATAGAAGTCGGGCTCAATGGCTCAGTCTGTAATCCCAGCGCTTTGGGAGGCCGAGGCAAGTGGATTACCTGAGCCCGCGGGTTTGAGACCCACCTGGGCAACTTGGCGAGACCTTGTCTCTACAACAAATCAAAAATTAGCCAGGTGTAGTAGCGCGCACCTGTAGTTCCGGCTTCTTGGAAGGCTGAGGTGGAAGGACCGCCGGAGCCCAGAAGGTCGAGGCTGCAGTGACCAGGAGCGTGCCACTGCACTCCAGTCTGGGCAATGGAGTGAGACTTCAACTCAAAAAAAAAAATAGAATGATGAAATGTCTCAGATAAGAATGTCTTCTGGTTTACAGGTGGAACATATCTGTTCTCTTAAGGGTTAGATGCGTCACTGTCAGATTTTTGGTAGAGTACAGGGCAGCAGGCTGTTCTTCTGTTCAGAAGGTTATGATCACATATAATCAGGAACCACCAATCTGTTGCTTTCAGGTTTGCAAAGCCTTTCAGTGGAGAAGGCAGCACTGTGTACTGGATCCTGGTCTGTTAAAGTCAGTGGAAGGGTTGTGGTAACAGGTCAGCGATATGAGAAGAGATAGAGGGATTAATCTTGAATGAAGGCAGTTGAGATTCTTGGAAATTTCGTGGGTCCCTGAAATATGAACATGACCTTTTGGGGCTAGGTTTCTTCAGTGGCATAAGAGATTCTAACTGAACTTCAAGAAATGCTCGGAAGAGAAGGAATAAAATATAATACAGTTTCCGACTCAAAATACAAACATTGACTCCTGGGCAAGTGGAAGCACCACAGAGAGATCTGATTCCAAGATTGTGCATGTTAACTTGCCTTTCAGATTAGCTTCAGTTTTCCTTAAGACAAAGGTTGCCAGCTTTTACCTAAGGGAAGGCTCCTTTTTGTTTTTGCATGCCTACCAGGCAGAGCAAGGTAGGACCCTGAACACCAGGCGAACTGCTTGGCTAGAATGGTGATGAGGAACACTTTTGCATTTACTAGGGCTCAGTCACCAAGCTGTTCTCAAGTCCAGGCCCTGCTCCTCCTGTGGTAGACCAGATGACAATCGTCAAGTAAAGTGAAAGTGACGACAGATGAATAATGATGTTTGTGTGGCGCTGCAGACATTTGTGAATGGGTTAACTGGCCTTGTGGAAGGCAAAGAGGAGTCCAAACAGAGGGCAAAGGCCTGAAGAGTGGGAGGGCTAACCAGTCTTTGTTATACAAGATGTAAAATATATGCCTTCTTATCATTTCTCTCCCTCTGAGCATGTACACATTTTCTCCTTCCACTTCAGACAGCCCTTCTCCTTGGGAAGATGGCTGCTTATTTTCTCTAAAGTTTTATTTTTGTACCTAAATGTAAAGTAAAAGGAAGAATCTTTGCTTAAGGCAAAGAGTTTAGATTTGGTGAGGACTGGAATCCTGCTGTGTCACTTACTCTACAAGAACTCGAAGCTCTGTACCCTGTCTATAAAGAGAGTGATGGTGTTGTCAGAGAGTGTGGTGGAATTTGATGGGGTGACATCAGTAAGGGGCCAGAACCAAGTGGGCCTTCAGTAAATTGTAGTAGGAGAGATTACAAGAGAAGCGTGTAGTATTTGCTGAACTCAACAGCTAACACCTTTCAAAGGACTTGTTGTCTAGCTTTCCTCATAGTTTTAAAACTCACATTGTAGTTTGCATTCCTTCTAGCTGTCTCCTGCCTTGAGAAACCGGTTTACAGAAATATGGTGCCCTCAAACCACAAGCCGTGAAGATTTAATTCAGATAATCAATCGTAATCTCCGTCCAGGATTGTCTCTGGGCAGAATAGATCATAAAGGTGAGAGTTCTCAGGTGGAGGTGGTGCTAGTAGAGTGGGTTTGTATTAGGAGTTGAGGGGTATGTATGTGCACATGAGCCATGTTACATGTGTACATGTGATGTGTTGTTATAAGGAGAAAGGAGATACAGAGGTGGAAACAAAATAAAAATAGATCTAATTAAAGTACGGTGCTAGCCTGTCCGCCTTCTAGTCAAGTGTTCCTTCTTTGTATTTTAATTGTCACCACCCTGAAAAAGTGTTTATAGACTTTAAGCTGCATTTCTTTAGTTGTCATTAATTAATGTATTATTTATTCATTGTATTTAAAAACTTTCATTTTGGCCGGGCTCGGTGGCTCAGCCTGTAATCCCATGCTTTGGGAGGCCAAGGTGAGTGAATTGCCTGAGCCCACGGGTTCGAGACCCGCCTGGGCAACTTGGCAAGACCTCATCTCCACAATAAATCAAAAAATTAGCCAGGTGTGGTGGTGCACGCCTGTAGTTCCAGCTACTTGGAAGTCTGAGGCGGAAGGATCGCCAGACCCCAGCAAGTCAAGGCTGCGGTGGCCAGGAGCAGCCACTGCACTCCAGTCTGGACAACTGAGTGAGACTCCAACTCAACAACAACAAACAAACAAATAAATAAATAAAAACTTTCATTTTATTATGAAAAATCTCAAAGAGGAAAAATAGAATAATATCAAAAACACTTCCATATACCCATAACGTAGATTTAGCAGTTCTTAAAATATCCAGTACGAGTCAACACATTTATTATATGATTCTTTTTCTTTAGGTCTATATTGGTTTGATGTGTGCATATTTATTTTGGACATAGAATAGACTAAATTTAGTTTCCAAGACTAAATTCATAGTTTTTTGGATCATTTTAAAATTACTAAAGTGTATAAAAGGACATCTCCTTCTTTGAGACCGGGATTCATGGATATGGTCAGCTTGCTAAAGGTGTTTTAAGAAAAGGCAGGCTAACTATGGAAAGCATCTTAATGGAACCAGTTCTCACCCGTGGCAGGCTAACTATGGAAAGCATCTTAATGGAACCAGTTCTCACCCGTGGTGTTTCAGGAAAGACTGTCTCTTTAGTCCTCTGAGCCAACTCTTCTGTTTCTTTAAGGAGGGCCCACACTACACTCACATTCACAGGTGTACTCAGTCGGCCTGAACAGCTGGAGTTCCCTATGTCTAATTCATCTTGCTGTTTTCTCTTCAGTCCCTGCCAATATGATAAACACCCAGTGGCACAAGAACTGACTAAGCCTGTGGTTGTCAGACACATCTGGAGGGCGTGTTGGAATACAGCCTGCTGGGCACCACGGCCTGGTATTTCTGATTCATTCGGTTGGGGGTGAGGCATGGGAATTTGCCTCTTTAACAAGCTCTCCAGTGATGCCACAAACGGTGTCCAACACCTGCTCTCAGAATCCCAGACTTGTGAGATTGTGTGTTTGCCATGGTGCATTTAATGTGCAGATCCCAGTTAAAGCAGAAGATAAATTGTTAAGCAGGTGTGGCTTGTCTTTAGGCTCTGTGTTGGAGCTGGATCCCCCTAGCAAGTAACCTCTAAATCTCCCACGGGCTGTTTATTCCCTTGTTTTAAGTTATTTGGATTGTGCTAGGTGCAACTGCTGTCACTCTGCCATGTCTACTCCATCACCAGTGTGCTTTATGTTTAATTGGAATAAACAGTTTCTCCATAGGACAGTAAGCATGGAAGCCCTGAGGACTTACCTCTGAGCCCCCCAGCTTGTGCTTAGGGAGCCTGTTTGCTTTGGGCTTTCTACACAGCAGTAGCAGTCTTTCTTGGGGAGGCTTCAAGACCCAGAGGAGCATGGAGAGTGCGAGAGAAGCAGTTTAATAGTTCACAGCAGTTTTATTGTCTGGAAATGGAACAGGGAGGCACATCATAGCACCTTTTTTTAAATTGTGAAATATAAAACAGGAAAGTATATACTTTATTCTTTTTTTTAGATTTTCTTTAAAGATATTGAAGATTTAATGAACTTAGTATTTTGACTACTTCTGTCATTTTAAGTTGAATTCTGATCCTAATCACAGTACTTATTATATTTTTATTCTGCGTTATCTTAATCAGTATAGTACATGGATTACCACAATGGGGTCTGCGTAATTTCTCTGGTATTTTTAGTTCACCAGTCTCCGTAGTAATGTTATCTATATATTTATAGTATGAACAAAACAGATTGTGTGAAATTGATGTATTTAAATAATACTTGTATTGACCTTTGAAAGGCATATGGGTTGCTTCTTCCAGTCTCTCAGTTTGGTAACCAGTACTTGTCAAAGCATTTGGTCTTGTTAGAGTGACATATTGTTTAACTTGAGTTACATTCTGAAATTGGAAATAAGGTGCTGCATAACTTCCTCCCCTTGGTTATGGTCAGATTGCCCTCCAGAAAGACAATGCCATCCACGGCCCTGCTAGCTACTTAATGAATGTGCCTGCTTGCCCTTTCCCTCCAATAGTTTTTATTCTTTTTAGTATGATCATATCCGTTATTTTATCATTATTAATTCAATGGCAGTTTACAATTTCCTTTTGTGTGTGTATGTATGTATATATATGTGTGTGTTTTGAGTTGGAGGTCTTACTTTGTCACCCAGGCTAGAATGTAGTGATGTGATCTTGACTCACCGCATTTCAGCCTCCCGAATTGCTGGGACTGCAGATGTGTACCACCACACCTGGCTAATGTTTTTGTAAAGACAAGATCTCTTTCTGTTGCCCAGGCTGGTCTGGAACACCTAGGCTCAAGCAGTCCTCCTGCCTTGGCCTTCCAAAGTGCTGGGATTACAAGTGTGAGCCATTGTACCTGGACTCCTTTTCTTTAATACTAGTGACATGGAACGTTATTTGATGCTTATTATTATTATTATTATTTTATTTTTTGTGTTGGAGTCTCACTCTTGTTGCCCAGACTGGAGTGCGGTGGCATGCTTACAGCCACTGCAGCCTTGACCTGCTGGGCTTAGGCAATCCTTCCACCTCAGCCTTTCAAGTAGCTGGAACTACAAATGCACACCACCATGCCCGGCTAGTTTTTTTTTGTGTTTTTTTGTAGAGACGAGGTCTCACCAAGTTACCTGGGCTGGTCTCGAACCCACAGACTCAGGCAGTCCATTCGCCTCGGCCTCCCAAAGTGCTGAGATTACAGGCTGAGCCACTGAGCCCATCCAAGCCTTATTTTTAATGACTTAATTGTTTTACATTTGGTATTCATCCTTATTTATCACAGGTTTTGATATTCTATTACTTTTTAATATTTGTTATAAAAAATACATGTATGCAGCTATGTCCTTTATCTCCAATCTTTTTCTTCAGTAGTCTTGATTTAGTTTCCCTTTGTTAATGGATACATTTTTTCAATTTCTCTTTTTTTTGTGACAAGATCTTGCTCTGTCACTGAGGCTGAAGTGCAGTCACACAAAGCTCACCGCAGCCTCAACCTTCTGGGCTCAGATGATCTTTCTGCCTCAGCCTACTGAGTAGCTGTGACTAACAGGTGGGTGTGCCGCCATGCCTGGCTAATTTTTATTTTTTGTTGAGACAAGGTCTCACTATTGTCCAGGCTGATCTTGAACTCCTTGGCTCAAGCAATCCTCCCATCTCAGCCTCCCAAAAGTGCTGGTATTACATGTGTGAGCCACCACTCCCAGCATATTTTCATTAAGTTTTTGATTAACCTTGAATTTATTTCATTCTGAAATGTGAATCTGAGTATTAGTATTTAATGTCCAGTTGTTCAAAAAGCATTTAATTTCTTTCCTCATTGTTACTGGAATTTGCCTCTTGCTTTGTCTATTTTAAGTTTGTTAAAAAGACTTGTGTTTTTCTTTTATCCGCATTCTTCTAACTAGTTGTTTTTCTTCTGATTTGCAGTAAGTGTAGCCATGAAAAGTTGTTGCTTTATAGTTTATTTTATAGTAGTGCTGATTCCTCCTCATTTTTCTTCCTGTTTTAAACATTCTTTGGTATCTGTACTTAGATAAATGTTTACTATTGTTCAAAAGTTTTATAAAATTCTCTCCTAAATTTAATTGACATTGCTTTGAATGTTTCCTTAGGGAATATTTATTTTCAGACATGTATTTTACGCTTTGAAATTGTGATAACTAGAATAGTCACTTGAATCATGAAACAAAATGTGTGAACCTCCTAATTTGCTGATTAGTGCTTAGGTTAAGAGTAAAACAATAAAAACCTGAACTAAATGCCACCGAAAAGGTGACATTACAATGAATATAATAAATATTATAAAAAGGTCTATTTAAAGTATAATTTTATACTATATATTATAAAATATACTTTATTATAAAATAAGAAAATTTATTTCCTGAAATTGTGTCATAAGTTCAAAATTGTATCTAAACATGAACCAAATAATATTTTTTTGAGCAGTTTTCAGGGCAGCTTTTAAAGCTGTAATTCTCAAGGATTTTTTGTTTGTTTGTTTCTTTTTGTTTTTGATAGGAGTAGAATGCTATTCACAAACTTCTTGGGCCTGTGATAAAGCTGTGGACCCCTTAGGAGAAGCATTTGTGTATATTCATAAGTCTTTGCCTATAATCTAAGGAGCATACGCCCTTCCTAGCCCATTTGTGGGTCCAGGTTATGACTTCTTTCTGGGATTTCCCATAAATAGCAAATGCTTTTGCTTCCTTGTGTCTTAGGGTCTGATATAGCTGAGGTGATGCTGGATTTCATTGACTGGCTGACCCTCCAGGAGTTTGGCCGTCGGTGTGTGGTCAGTATCAGAGATATCCTGTCCTGGGTTAACTTCATGAACACAATGGGAAAGGAAGCTGCTTTCAAAAGACCAGAGACCATCTCTACTGTGACGTCTTTTGTCCATGCCGCATGCCTGGTGTACATAGATGGAATAGGTTCAGGTATGTTACCTGTTAGCTGGTGGGACAAGAGGAGGTAGGAAAAGGAGCAAACCTAGGCCTTTAACTCAGGTATTATACAGAATCGCTTAGTCTAACATCTCCAATACTCACAGTGGCTTTCTTTTTCTTTGAACTCTTTTTTTTTTTTGAGATGGAGTCTTACTCTGTTGCCCAGGCTGGAGTAAAGTAGCACCCTCACAGCCACCCGCAGCATCTACCTGCTGGGCTCCAATGATCCTTCCACCTCAGCCTTCCAAGTAGCCAGAACTATGGGCACAAACTACCACGCCTGGCTAATTTATTTATTTATTTATTTTTTAGATTAGAGAATATAATTTATTTAGAAAGTAAATTAGAGAGAGAGATTGATTCACCTCCCCAAGATTAGGGGAGAGGGCCAATGATAGGACACATGGCGACCCTATTTTTTTGTTTTATTGTAAAGATGAGGTCTTGCCAAGTTGCCCAGGCTGGTCTCAAGCCCTCAGGTTCAGGCTATCTTCTTGCCTCTGCCTCCCAAAGTGCTGGCATTACAGGCTTGAGCCACCATGCCCGACTTTTCTTTGAACTCTTTGAAAGGTGGTTAGCATAAAAGTTACACTGAAACTTCTCAAAACTTGTGGACTAGGTACTTAATACATGTGAGATCATGATTATGAGTAGAAGAAAAGACTTGATATCTTTGCTTCCGAAGTACTGGATAATTCTTTTTTTTTTTCGAGTTGGAGTCTTACTCTGTCACCCAGACTGGAGTGCAGTGGCCGCTCCCGGCTACGGCAGCCTCGACCTGCTGGGCTCTGGCAGTCCTTCCGCCTCAGCCTTCCTAGTAGCCGGAACTACAGGCACGCGTTACCACACCCGGCTAACATTTTGATTTATTGTAGAGATGAGGTCTCACCTGCCCAGGAGGGTCTCGAACCCGCGGGCTCAGGCATTTCACTCACCTAAGCCTCCCAAAGGCGTTAGATTTTACAGGCTGAGCCACCGAGCCTGACTGATAATGCTTTCTTTCTTTTTTTTTTTTTTTTTTTGAGTTGGAGTCCCACTCTGTCGCCTAGACTGGAGTGCAGTCCCGGCCACTGTAGCCTCGACCTGCTGGGCTCAGACGATCCTTCCACCTCAGCCTTCCAAGTAGCTGGAACTACAGATACGCGCTACCACGCCTGGTTAATTTTTAAATTTTTATTGTAGAGACGGGGTCTTGCCATTTTGCCCAGGTGGGTCTCAAACCCTCAGGCTCAGGCAATTCACTCGCCTCGGCTTCCCAAAGTGCTGGGATTACAGGCTGAGCCACTGAGCCCAGCCTGCACTTAACTCGAGTAGTCATTTTAATTTAATGGACCTCAATTCTGTATTGTGTTTTAAGTTTACTATAATATGAAATTCAGTGTTTAAGTTCTGATTTTTCAGTCATGATGACTTGAAATATAATTTAACATGATTAATAGTACTGCATTAGTTACTTATTTCCAGGTTGATTTATCAATGAGTGACTGGAGTATTTTACTGAACAAGCTGCTGCTTACTTGATGATCAGTAGACTTGGAAACAGGATCAGACTTCTTCCCTAGGATTGCTTACACTAGAAATCATCGTGTTCAGACTGTGCTTCTGCTAAGACCTCTTTTCCCCAGGACCCTGTGTGACAATTGCTAAATGACTGTGAAGCTTGGTATTTTGCCGTGTCTTGATGACCTCATCTTCTGTTTTATAGGGATAACTTCCTCTGGGTTTGGTACAGCCCTCTTGGCTCGAAAAGAATGTCTGAAATTCCTGATCAAGAAACTTACCAAGATAGTTCGACTTACAGAATGTCAGAAAAACGAATTGAAGATTTATGACAGACTGAAGGCCAAAGAATTCACTGGGATAGATAACCTTTGGGGAATTCATCCATTTTTTATACCCAGGGGTAAGAGTGATTTTAAGTAAATGGATATGCTCTTCCTATGGATTGTAGGGACTTGACTTATATTGTGACATTTAGTTTTAGTGGGTCATACTCATGATTGTTTTTGAATTATCTAAATTAGAATCTGATGTGGTATAACCAAAATTGTGTGAATGGTTGAAAATATATTATTGGCATGCAGAAGTAGGGGGTTAGAGACTTCATCCTATGGATTGATTGTGTTATAAAAATACTTATTTGAGCCGGGCTCGGTGGCTCAGCCTGTAATCCCATGCCTTTGGGAGGCTGAGGTAAGTGGATTGCCTGAGCCTGCGGGTTCAAGACCCGCCTGGGCAGCGAGACCTCATCTCTACAATAAATCAAAAAATCAGCCGGGCGTGGTAGCGCATGCCTGTAATTCTGGCTACTTGGAAGGCTGAGGTGGAAGGATCGCCGGAGCCCAGCAGTCGAGGCTGCAGTGGCCAGGAGCAGCCACTGCACTCCAGTCTGGGCGACCGAGTGAGACTCTAACTCAAAAAAAAAAAAAAAAATGCTTGTTTGTTTATTAGTTGGTACCCACAACAGTCACTTTCCTTTAGTAGGTTCTAAACTACTGAAATTGTCAGTTAACTCTTAAGTGGCTTACAAAGTCCTCTTTAGCCCATAATGTATATCTTATCTGTAGACCCACGTTGCCTTTTACAGAAACAGATTTTGTGAACCCTTGAGGACTGGTAATGTGTCATTCTTCTTCCGTTCTGTGACATCTGACGTGTGACTTTGCAGTCATAGGCTCTCAGAAAATGTCTCTTGATGAGTGAATGAATGAATGAAAGACTAAAGGGGAAATGCAGTTGTCTAGGAGACAGCACATTTAAGTTCTAAGACTTGCTCTCCTCCTAACTAGGTTACCTCTACCAAATATTTAAATGAGGCTGTTAGATTAGAGGTCTTCTAAGAGTTTCCTAGCTTTTTAGTTGTTGCTTCCTTAGCAGGGTCATCTGTTTCTTGTTCCCTTCTTCTCTACGTTAATAATAGCCGAGGGCCTGATATATACAGAAGTGCAGTGACAGTTACTAAGGCTTCAGTGGTGAACCTAACCGACTCGGGTTCCTCACTGAAGGGAGCATCGCACCTTTCACTCAGAGCTCCATCTCTCTTCAGCACTGTCCTTGTCATTCCCATGAAGCTGAGATCTGATGCTAACCATTAGATCTCTTCCCCTCCCTTCCCTTCCCTATGCCAGTGGTGTAGTATTCAGCACTCCTGTGTAGGGCTATACGGTGGTGGTCTGGAACTGGGGTGTTTCCTTGCTTCTCCTTATAAGGCTGAGGAAATCGATGTTTTCCTAGTCTCACTCCCTGCACACTGATATACCAAAAGCTTCTTCCAAGAGACAGTGTGGCACAAATGTCAAGCCCTATGAGACTTTTACTAGTCTTGTACTTCTGTTACCTTATGGGATAAGGACACATTCTGTGTTGTCTTGGTGACCTAAAAACCTTGGATTTATTTTTACATGGAACCATTTATTGTTTACATGGCCTATACTCCTAGCTTAACACTTGGCTTTTAGGAAAATCCATGTAGTAATTTAAGGTGTAGGTTGTGAAAGGAGAGAGTAAGTTTGCAGTTAGATTCATGTATGTATGTACATGGATATGTCTAGGAGATAGATCTGTACTATACGCGAATGTGGAAGAAAGTGTGCTATGGCTCATTACTGTAAAGCCTTTTATGGATCCAGAAGTGGGAAATATTGAAATAGGAGTGAGCATTTCCACTGCAGATGGTACTCACTAGCTGGCCTACGTGGTGGATTTTTGAAATCTTGAGTTGGCATGTACATGTGATTTGATGGTGTCTGTCTCATATGTGGCTTTGCTTTTCTCCACTTAAGGACCCGTACTGCACAGGAATAATATTGCTGACTATGCACTCAGTGCAGGGACTACTGCCATGAATGCTCAGAGGCTCCTAAGAGCAACAAAACTAAACAAACCCATTCTCTTGGAGGGCTCCCCTGGTGTTGGCAAGACAAGTTTGGTGGGCGCATTAGCAAAGGCTTCAGGAAATACCCTTGTTCGAATCAACTTGTCAGAGCAGACGGTAAGTTTAGTCATTCTCTAACTGATGGGGATAGGTATAGGTATTAATATTTGTGTCAGCATAGAGTTTCCCAATCAAGTGGTCGTATTATCAGCACCTCCAGATATTTCAGTGGTAATGAAGAGCACAACAACATGGCCTTCCAAACTAATTCTACATTTGGATTTGTTAGTAGCTGACTCTTACAGAATTATTATCTCAGGCTGGGTGTGGTGGCTCAAGCCTGGAATCCCAGCACTCAGAGATGGAGGCGAGAGGGTTACCTGACCCCGGGGGTTCCAGACCAGCCTGGGCAGCTTGGTGAGACCTCCTCTCTACAATAAATTAGCAATTAGCCCAGCGTGGTGGCCAGCGCCTCTCGTTCCAGCTACTTGGAAGACTGAGATGAAAGGATCACCTGAGTGCCCAGCAGGTCCAGGCTGTGGTGGCCAGGAGCATGCCACTGCATTCCAGCTCAGGCAACAGAGTGAGACTCCAACTCAAAAAAAAAAATTATTCTCTCTGGATGCATTATTCTAATTCTTGTTTTAGAGAGAATTGTCCCACTTAGTATTTATTGTAATTAATCCCACTTAATTTTTTTTTCTTTTCTTCTTTGACTCAGAGTCTCACTCTGTTGCCCAGGTTAAAGAGCAGTGCCACAGTAATGGCTACCTCAGGCTTGATGTGCTGGTCTCAGGCCATCCTTGTGCTTCAGCCTTCCAAGTAGCTGGAACTGCAGTTGTGGGCTACTATGCCTGGCTTGTTTTTTTGACTTATTGTAGAGATGCTGTCTCACCATGTTGCCCAAGGCTAGTCTCAAACCCCTGGGCTTTGGCAAACCTCTTGCCTCAGCTTCCCAAAGGGCTGTGATTACAAGTGTGAGCCACCATACCCAGCCTTTTTTGCTTTTTAGAAAAAGTAGTAGAAATAAAATGACTTCTAAACAATCTTAGGAAAATATGGGACAGAGAAGACAACTGAATGAGAATCCTTTGGAATAGAGTCTAGGAACAGGCCTGGGCAATGTTATTAGTGTGTGTGTGTGTGTTTTAAAGCTCACCAATTAATTTCCATGTGCAGCCAATGTTAAGCATTATTCATCTAGAGGGCTAGCTCATACTGATTGATAACATGGAGCATTGTGAGGAAAAAGTTCTTGGGGCATATTTGGACTCCTGGTAAAGAGTGCTAGGATTGATTAGTTCTGTATTGGGTGTAGGAAGGAAGAGGAGTGGTACCAGGCCCAAGCGTTTATCATTTCAGATTTAGGGTCTTAGGCTCTAACTTCTTTCTTTGTTTTGTTTTGTTGGCTTTTTTCCACTTCTTCCCTCTCTCAGGACATCACAGACCTGTTTGGAGCCGATCTGCCTGTGGAAGGTGGCAAGGGAGGAGAGTTTGCCTGGCGTGATGGCCCCCTGCTGGCAGCTCTAAAGGCAGGCCATTGGGTTGTGTTGGATGAGGTGAGGGCCCTGTCCATCATGCCCTAGGGCATTTCTCGGTGGGTGGCCATGCAAAGAATAAGGAAGGTCACTTGGCAGACCGCACACACAAACGTGCCTGCACCTATAACCCACACACTCTCCTACTTTTAAAAGTTATCATTCAACTCAAAAAAAAAAAAAAAAAAAAAGTTATTATTCACAAGAGAACTACATCTTGACTAATGTATTCTCTAGTCTGACAGGCTTACTGGACTTGCATTTATTTCAGAGGTGTTTTATGAATTTAATCAACCACTTTGCATTTTATCAGTGTACCAGAGAGATGGTGGAAAGACATACAAATATGATGAGAAAATGATTAGTGTCATATGTGAATATTAGGTAAATTATTGATCAGAAGCAAGAGCACCTCATGAGACATGAATATAAATCTCTGACTGAAAGACAGCTAGTGATAAGGAGTTGGATCAGTTTGGAATGTATAATGTTAACTAAGGAAAAGGCTAGAATATGTGTGGAGCTGAAACGATTAGAGTAATGGTGTAAGTTGAAACTTTGGACACAGGCCCCAACAGGTTCCCGAGATTGAGACCCCTTTGGGTCTGTACAGCAGTATGCTGTGGGATTCAGTCTGCTGAGCCACTTTTTTTTTTTTTAAAGTAGGAGTCTCACTCTGTGGCCCAGGCTGGAGTGCAGTGGCATGCTCATGGCTACTACAGCTATGACCTGCTGGGCTCAGGCTATCCTTCTGCCTCAGCCTTCCAAGTAGGTGGGACTACAGGCATGTGCCACTACACCTGGCAAATTTTTTGAATGTATTGTAGAGACAAAGTCTCGCCAAGTTGCCCAGACTGGTCTCGAACCACTGAGCTCAGGCAATCCTCTCACCTGAGCTACTTTTTGCTGTTTATTCTTGGCGAGATAATGAGGAGAGTTTGTTTGTTTTCCCCCTCCAGATTTTCTTTTTTGGAGAATGATATCTGGCAGAATATTCATTAGCCAGGAAAAGAGAAATCTGAAGACTGCTGATCATACTCACTTCTCAGGGAATATAAGACGTTCTTAATTTGCAAACACACTTCAGAACTGCTTTCTCTTTGGAAACATACAGAGGGGTTTGTGCTTTGTTGTAGTCCTTATGTAAACACGACCCTTGAAATTCTAAGATGCTATGTCTGTTTACATTTTAATGATTTGCATTTTCTCATTCTACTTTTTTTTTTTTGAATTGGAGTCTCACTCTGTCGCCCAGAGTGGAGTGCAGTGGCTCCTGGCCATCGCAACCTTGACCTGCTGGGCTCCAGCGATCCTTTTGCCTCAGCCCCCGAGTTGCCGGAATTACAGATGTGCACTACCATGCTCGGCTAATTTTTTGATTTATTGTAGAGATGAGGTCTCGGATGCCCAGGCGGGTCTCGAACCCGCGGGCTCAGGCAATCCACTCACCTCAGCCTCCCAAAGGCATGGGATTACAGGCTGAGCTATGCAGCCCGGCTTCTACTTTTTGTTTTTAAAACATTTTTATAGAGCCAGAGTTTCACTATGTAGCTCAGGCTGGATTTGGACTCCTAGCTTCATCTTCCTGCCTCGGGCTCCCAAAACAGACCACTGCACTGGCCTACTTTTTCTATTTTTCCTTTAAAAAAAACACCCAGGCTTTACATCCCTGAGCTCTGAACTCAGTGTTTGAACACTTCAATTCAGCTCTTTTTATTTCTAGCACAATACCTCCTTGTAATTGTTTTTGTTTACAAAACTGTTGATGGATGTTAGCAGTCTAGACCTACTTTATATTGTTTGTATTCTGACTTTTAAGCCCATTTGGAGATTTTGTTCAAAATTATAGCTGGGAAAATATGTATTGAGTTATCTAACCTAATCCGTTCCCCTTCAATTGGTGTTAAATTTCGGAAAACTTAAAGAGTGTGAAAATGCAATAATCTGTATTGGCAGCTTTTCTTTTTTGGAGTCATAGTCTCACTCTGTTGCCCAGGCTGGAGTACAGTGGCATGCTCATGGCCACAGTAGCCTCAATGTGTTGGGCTCAGGCGATCTTTCCTCAGACTTCCAAGTAGCTGGAACTGCAGGCGTGTGCCACCATGCCTGGCTAATTTTTTTTTTATTTATTGTAGAGAAAAGGTCTTACCAAGTTGCCCAGGCTGGTCTGGAACCCCTGGGCTCAGGCAGTCCTCTCGCTTCCACCTTCCAAAGTGCTGGGATTACAGGCGTGAGCCACGGTGCCTGGCCGGTATTGGCAAGTTTTATCTTTTATTTTTATTTTTATGTTTTTAACAATTCAGGATTAGGTATACGATTGATCATCGTACAGGTAAAGTTTGGGCCTACCTTTGGTCCCCAATTGTATTGGCAAGTTTTAAAAATAAGTTACTGTGTACAGAGTAGGTTAATATAGATGCATGTACTAGATACAGTTTAACTTTTGAGAAGATCTTTAACTTTTTAAAATTTAATTTGAGCACTTATTTAGGGTACTTAAAGTTATATATATATATATAATACACCCCAAATCTCTTTAATGCATATGAGAAATAAAGAAAAAGAGAATGAATATACACCAACTCATCACTCAGTTTGAGAAATAGAGGGTTATCAGTATAGTTTGAACTTTTTCCCTTCTGAAGATAACTCTGCCCTACTTTGCTACCTATTATTCCCTTGCTTTTTGTTATAGATGCACAACATAGATTATGAAATAAACATATGTACTTTCTTTTCCAAATAGCTTAACCTGGCTTCTCAGTCTGTATTGGAAGGACTCAATGCTTGTTTTGACCACCGAGGAGAAATCTATGTGCCTGAGTTAGGAATGAGCTTTCAAGTGCATCATGAAAAGACGAAGATTTTTGGTTGTCAGAATCCTTTTAGACAAGGAGGCGGGAGGAAGGGCTTACCAAGGTCTTTCCTTAACAGATTCACTCAGGTAAGATTTTCTGTTGCCAAAGAAACCAGAGGTAGAGTGTGGGGGTGATGAAACTGCTGTTACAAAGCTGTTGGGATGCTTCCTATGAGGAAGAGAGAGCAACAGCTGAACGAGCCTCTTTCTTGTCCTTATGTGATGAATATTAATGCAACTGATTCCCATCATTGCTTCTCTCTTGGTTTAAATGACCTTGTCTTATGCTCTGGAAGACTTGGTGTGCTGTCAGTTGGGGGAGAGGCTCACCACCATCTTCAGAATTTAGTTACTGCACTCAGATCGGTTGAAGGCCAATCTTTGACATTTTCAGTTGTCTATGTGCTCTATTAAAATATTTAGGAAAATCATATATGCTGGGCATGGTGGCTCACGCCTGCAATTCTGCACTTTAGAGGGCAGAGGTGAGAGGATTGCCTGAGTCCAGGGGTTCGAGACCAGCCTGGGCAACTTGATGAGACCTTGTCTCTGCAATAAATCAAAAGATCAGCTGGGTGTAGTGGCACATACCTGTGGTTCCAGCTACTTGGAAGGCTGAGGCAGAAGGATCACCTGAGCCCAGCAGGTCAAGGCTGTGGTGACCATGAGCATGCCACTGCACTCCAGTCTGGGTGACAGAGTGAGACTCCGACTCAAAAAAAAAAAAAAGAAATTGTATAGTGAAAGTAATGCATTTTAATTAAAGAAAAATCAGAAAGAAAAGGGAACTACTACAAAGAATAAAAACTCGGTATTCCATTCAATCTCTACCAACATCTTGGTGTCTTAAGCCTTTATTCCTATTTGTAGAGGGGTATATATATGCATGTATGTGTGTGTCCATGGTTCCTTGTCTTAACAGCTAGTTGTCAGAGTTTGGCTAATCTTGAGGTTTGAAAATGCCTCTGGGGCAACCCTTCCAGGTCCCCTCCCACTGTGGGAGCTTTTCTGTCCTCTTAGTAAATCCTGCTTTCAAAAAAAAAGAAAATGCCTCTGGATATTAGGCTTCCTTCATATCCCTGTCCCTTGATTATTAAGAATTTGCTGAGACTCTTTTAAGAACATTTTATTGGCTGGGTGTGGTAGCTCATGCCTGTAATGCCAGCACTTTGGGAGACAGAGGCAGGAGAATTGCCTGAGCCCACCAGTTTGAGACAACCTAAGCAACATGGCGAGACCACGTCTCTACAATAAATCAAAATATTAGCCGGGCATGGTAGCACATGCCTGTAATTCTGGCTACTTGGAAGGCTGATGTGTAAGGATCTCCAGAGCACAGCAGGTCGAGGCTGTGGTAGCCGGGAGCGGCCACTGCACTCCAGTCTGGGCGACAGAGTGAGACTCCAACTCAAAAAAAAAAAAAAATTAGCAGGGTGTGGTGGTGCATACTTGTAGTTCTAGCTACTTGGAAGGCTGAGGCAGAAGAATCGTCTGAGCGCAGCAGGTTGAAGATGCAGTGGCCGTGAGCATGCTACTGTACTCCAGCCTGGTAGACAGAGTAAGACTCTGATAAAAAAAAAAAAAAAGAGAGAGAGTATTTTATTACAAAAATTTTCAAACATCAAAAAGTTGAACGCGTTGTATAGAGACCATTCATATACCTGCCATCCAGATTTTGAAAGCATTTTACATTACAAACATTGGAAGAATTTTAGAACAAATATAGTTATTAAAAAATAAGCTGCATGTATCTCTTTTTCTTTTTCTTTGATTTACTGGAGTAGAGCTTAAAAACAAAACTTCTGTTGAGCTATGTATTTGATTTTATGGTTCTTTATCCTAAAAATGTAAAAAAAAAGAAATTCCTATAACTGAAAATTATATGTATTATTCAGGTATTGTTAGTTGTTGCTAAATAAAGATTTCATATAACAAGATATTGTAGTCGTTTCTACTATTTGGTAAAGAGAAACAAAGGCATTTCTTCACGCTGTTTTTGGATTTTTACAGGTCTTTGTGGATCCCCTTACAGTAATTGACATGGAGTTTATTGCCAGTACTTTGTTCCCAGCCATTGACAAAAATATTGTTAAAAGAATGGTTGCTTTCAATAACCAAGTAAGTATCTACTTGTATGAGTTGTTCTTTGTTTTTCTGACTGTATTTGAACCAGCAGTTTTCAACATAGGACTCTACCAAATCAGCATCTCTTAGATATTTACACGTTTCTAATGGAAGGTAAGCTACTCATTGGAGGCTTACAGTAATTTATCTCTGTATTGCAAATACCAATCGTAATGCATTGCAGAGTATCTCTGGCATTTGGGAGTCCGGAGAAGGAAGTATCTGAATCAAGCCTGTTAAATTTCTTTCAGGTTGCATAGGCATTTGTAGTATGTTGATAGCGCTTAATGTAGTGCCCGGCAGTAGGACATCTTTCTCCAATAAGGGTGTTTTCTTTCTAGATTGACCATGAAGTGACTGTTGAGAAGAAATGGGGGCAAAAAGGAGGACCTTGGGAATTCAACCTGAGGGATCTTTTCCGCTGGTGTCAGTTGATGCTGGTTGACCAGTCCCCTGGATGTTATGATCCCGGCCAGCATGTGTTTTTGGTATATGGTGAAAGAATGAGAACCAGGGAAGACAAAAAAAAGGTGAGCTTCATACTTACTTGCTGTTGTGTTTCTTTCCATTTGAAAGTTGGTTTCTTAGAGAGAAAGTACATACTCGCCTAATAATACCAAGTCTTTCAAAGCTTCTTGGATATTGAGAAGTTAATGGAACAGACTAAACATTCACTTATCTCAGAGTCTCACAAGATAGAGTACTTGGCTTTGGTGGAAACAATTTGCTTATCCACCTAAATCCCCTTGGTCGCAGATCATCTTCAAATAGTATTACACTCCAGTAATAAAGAACTAGGTCTTCATCATCTTTCCAGGTACAAAAGTCAGAAGCAGGTGGAGACAGGTTTTGGCTTTTTTTTAGTTGGAATCTCACTCTTGTCGCCCAGGCAGGAGTGCAGTGATGCACTCACGGCCAACTCAGCCTCAACCTGCTGGGCTTAGGTGATCCTTTCGCCTCAGCCTTCCAAGTAACTGGAACTACAGGCGCGCACTATCATGCCCGGCTAATTTTTTGATTTATTGTAGAGATGAGGTTTTGCCAAGTTGCCTAGGCGGGTCTTGAACCCGGAGGCTCAGGCAATCCACTCACCTCAGCCTCCCAAAGTGCTGGAATTACAGGCTAGCCACTGAGCCCGAGTTTTTCTTTAAATAAATGTCAAACTACAGAGTGTTTTATTTGAAAAATATAAACAGATGTAAAGGGAGGATATTCTGTATTTAAGTGGAAATTAAAATACTAGTTTGTAAATAAAAGTTAACACTGGAATTCCCAGCTTAAGAAGCTGGAATGACATGTTCATTTTGGCTTGTGATGTTTGAAGTCCTGTGTTACTGAATACTCACAGCAGCTGCAGGCAGGAAATGCTGTCACGACCTGTTACTGGTGAGAATCTGAAAGCTCAAAGTGGTGGAGCCTGGCAGAGTCAACCTGGGGTCTGGGCCATTTCCGCATTGTCTACTATTATATCCGTCTACTACACCACACTGTTTGAAGATAAATTAATAGATACACAGATGCATGGGTTGGACCAGTAACCCCTTGTTACCCAGATCTTTTATTCTGTGGTATTCAGAATCTACCTAGATGCTAACAACTCATTTATTTTATGTTAGTGACTTTCTGTTGTTGAATTCGAGAAAATGTTCAACTAGGTTTTCTTTCTTTGTTTTTCTGTTTTTTGAGTCAAGGCCTTACTATGTCTCCTAGATTGAAATGCAGTGACACACTTACAGCCACCACAGCCTCAACCTGCTGGGCTCAGGTGATCCTTCTGCCTCAGCATTCCAAGTAGCTGAAACCACAGGCGTGTGCCACCATTCCAGGCTTTTTTTTTTTTTTTTGAGTTGGAGTCTCACTCTGTCGCCTAGACTGGAGTGCAGTGGCACGCTCCCGGCCACCACAGCCTCAACCTGCTGGGCTCCAGCAGTCCCTCCGCCTCAGTCTTCCAAGTAGCTGGAACTACAGGTGTGTGCTACCACACCTGGCTAATTTTTGATTTATTGTAGAGACAAGGTCCCGCCAAGTTGCCTGGGTGGGTATCGAACCCGTGGACTCAGGCAATTCACTCACCTCGGCCTTCCAAAGTGCTGGGATTACAGGATGAGCCACCGAGTCCAGCGTAATTTTTTTTATTTATTGTAGGGGTGATGTCTCACCAGGTTGCCCAGTCTGATCTCAAACGCCTGGACCCAGGCAGTCCTCTCACCTCGGCCTCCCAAAGTACTAGGATTACAGGCATGAGCCACTGTGCCCAGCATGCGTTAATGTTTTTTACACACCTCTGTTCCTTTCGCCTATTTTTTTGTTGTTGTTGTTGGAGTCTTACTCCGTTGCCCAGACTGGAGTGCAGTGGCCGCTCCTGGCCATCACAGCCTTGACCTGCTGGGCTCTGCGATCCTTCCGCCTCAGCCTTTCAAGTAGCTGGAACTATAGGTGTGCGCTACCACGCACGGCTAGTTTTTTTATTAATTGTAGAGATGCGGTCTCGCCAAGTTGCCCAGGCAGGTCTCGAACCCGCGGGGTCAGGCAATCCACTCACCTCAGCCTCCCAGAGGCGCGGGATTACAGGCTGAGCCACCGAGCCCAGCTTCCTTTTAGATTTTTTAAGGCGATCATAAAACAAACAGCATTAACAGAACATTTTCTAACAGGATTCGTAGTAAAGAAGGATAACTGAACATAAATCAGTGTTGACATTAGATTTGGTTTTCATATCTACACAAATATTTGGAGGGATAACTTGATGGTTTTTGGAAACAGACTGACTTAGATTTAAGATCAGTTACCAACCATGGCCAAGTTCTGTAACCTATATAAAATGGACATGGTGAAATAATCCTTTAAAGTACCTAGAACAGTATTTGGCACATAGCAAATGGTCAGGGAATGGTCATTATTCTTCATAATCTTTGTATTTCTGTTCTGCTTTATCCTCTTTTTAGATGGTTTCTTGAATGGTGAAAACATTCGTCTCTAGATTTTTCATCTCTAGATTTTCCACAGTGTCTGTGGCTGTGTTTTAATTTATGGTGCGTTCTCATGGAAATCTCAAATAGCTTGAGATCATGTGACTGCTTTGTTCTTGAACCCAACTTTACTTTTGTTCCAAATAATTAAATAATGCAATCTAGCCTTTTCTAAGGATAAGGGAATTGTGGCTAGCATTTTTTGCATAGGGACCCTCATTTGCATGTTTTCTAGAAGTATTCTTTCTAAAAGCTTTGCCTAAGAATTCAGTGGGGTGATTTTTTTTAATGCATTGTCTTCTTCCTTTAGGTCATTGCTGTATTCAAGGATGTATTTGGGTCAAATTCTAACCCATATATGGGAACCAGACTATTTCGTATCACTCCCTATGATGTTCAGGTGAGACACTAGGATAATCCTCTATTCTTTTACAGTTTTGTGTGACTTCTTCTGTGCCTACTACCAGGTAAGCATGCGAAGAAATCTCACTGGCATGTCTTTTCAGCTGGGCTATTCGGTCCTTCCCCGTGGCAGCTATGTTCCTCACCCGTCCCGCCGACCCCTGTCTCTCCTGCACCAATCCTTCCAGTCTCTGGAGTCGATCATGAAATGTGTGCAGATGAGCTGGATGGTCATCCTTGTGGGGCCAGCCTCTGTGGGCAAGACCAGCCTGGTCCAGCTTCTGGCACACCTTACTGGCCACACATTGAAGGTCATGGCGATGAACAGCGCCGTGGATACTACTGAGCTTCTGGGTGGATTTGAGCAGGTAACCATTCTGCCATAACATTTTTGGCAAAGCATAATAAACCCCATGGTCTGATTGAGGGTCTTCTGTGTCCATGGTGACTACAGATAACAATATTTTCTGACCTTGGCAAGGCCATAAGTTCACATTCTCTGGAAATTGCAGGTTGACCTAATACGACCTTGGCAGCAGCTGTTAGAAAAGGTGGAGGTTGCTGTCCACACACTGTTAAGGGAGAGCCTCCTTATCAGTGCTGATGATACAGAAGTCGTGCTGCGAGCCTGGAGTCACTTCCTTCTGACATGTAAGCCCACGAGTCTTGGAGAAGGTGGTAAAGGGATCACGATGGAGATTGTCAATAAGCTGGAAGCAGTATTATTGCTTATGCAGCGACTCAACAGTAAAATCAACTCATACACCAAGGCAGGTATGTGTATTTGGATGTGTGAATCAGGCACTTACCTTTGCCCATTGTGCATATTGAGCATATTTCTAATAGTTGTCTGCTAACTTCATCTTTTATTCTAGGTCTCGTCTGTTGATTTTCCTCCTGGTTATAAGTCATATTTTCTTACTTGTCTATTGACTTATTTTGATTGGATGTCAGACCTATTAAATTGTCTCTGCGTAGCCGGGCTTGGTGGCTCAGCCTGTAATCCCGCGCCTTTGGGAGGCTGAGGTGAGTGGATTGCCTGAGCCCGCGCATTCAAGACCCACCTGGGCAGCGAGACCTCATCTCTACAATAAATCAAAAAATCAGCCAGGCATGGTAGCGCATGCCTGTAATTCCGGCTACTCGGAAGTCTGAGGCAGAAGGATCGCCGGAGCCCAGCAGACGAGGCTGCGGTGGCCGGGAGCGGCCACTGCACTCCTGTCTGGGCAACCCAGTGAGACTCCAACTCAAAAAAAAAAAAAAAAAATTGTCTCTGAGTACTGCATTTTGTTATATTTCTTCGAATAGTGTTGGACATTTTCTGGAAGGCAGTTGAGCTGTTTATGGATAATTTTGATGTTTTTCAAGATTGCTTTTAAGCTTTTTAAGGTCAGGTCTAGAAGATTCTTTACTCTAGGGCTAGATTAGCCCCTTGATTGAGGCATGATCCTTACAGCATCTCTATTGAACATCCTGTGTGTTCAGGGACGTCTCCTCACCTTGACTGGTGGCACCTGGTGTGGTACTCAGCCTTATGTGAACTCTGGGAGTTCTTCAGCTCACATTTCCCGGTAATTGTCCTCTCCTTGGAAGTTTTTGCTCATCCTTGTTGAGATTCACTTTTATGTGCACTTGAAGATGGTTATTTAGACAGACTCTAGGGTCGTTATCCAGATTTTTGGAGCTGTTTTTCTGATTAGCTCCTTCCTCTTAAGGATGCTGTTCTTCATTCTAGTTACCTCAGCCTCCCTGAACTCTACTCTGTCTGTTCACTCTAGGAAACCTCTGGGATCTGTTTGGGCTCCCCCGCCCAGCTTTTCAATCCCAGAATTGCTTCCAGGCAGAAAGCCAGGGCAGTTATGGGCTTCACCTAATTTTTTTTTTCTTCCCTCATATAACAAATCTTGTGCTACCTGTTGTCTAGTAACCAAAAGCTGTTGTTTCATATGTTTTGCCTAGTTCGCTAGTTGTTAACAGTGGCAAGTTAAGTCTAAATCTTGTTACTTTTTCATGGTTAGAAGAAGAAATTCAATAAAACAATTTCCAACAAAAAACATTACTTGAAAAATTTCCAGGAAGGGGCGGTATCAACTATAATGCACTTGTCAAATAATTACAGTTGTTACGAGGCTCATATGATGTAGCTATTGTGAAGGAGGTCCAGCTTAATGACATCCTATGCACTGTGCCAACTTACAGTGTGTTCATGTAGTATAAGTGCTGTAATGGGGAGATATTCTTCTCCTTTGGCCACTTGAGAATTTGCAATACGGAAAAATTATTTTACCCTTTCTATCCCCCTAGAGTGAACTCTTGAATATCTAGCCATTAATTCAGAAAGAGAAGTATTACCTGTCCCAAATTATTTTTCCTATCTGTATTTAAACAGAACCTTTTGTCTTCTTATTTATTCTATAATGAATCCTTAAAAAAGACATTGGGCCAGAAGTTTCAAGCTTTCTTTTATTTTTATTTATTTATTTATTTTTGAGTTGGAGTCTCACTCTGTTCCCCAGACTGGAGTGCAGTGGCCGCTCCCGGCCACCACAGCCTCGACCTGCTGGGCTCTGGCGATCCTTCCGCCTCAGCCTTCCGAGTAGCCGGAATTACAGGCACGCGCTACCACGCCTGGCTGATTTTTGATTTGTTGTAGAGATGAGGTCTGGCCAAGTTGCCTAGGCGGGTCTTGAACCTGCGAGCTCAGGCAATCCACTCACCTCGGCCTCCCAAAGGTGCGGGATTACAGGCTGAGCCACTGAGCCCAGCTTCAAGCTTTCTTTTAATACCTCTTAGTTCTTGGGTAGAGTGCTGTGGATGGTGATTCTTTCTGTGACATTTTCAGGGTTTGCCAAACTCGTGGAAGAGTTCCGAAGCTTTGGGGTGAAGCTTACGCAGTCAGCCAGCGGCCATAGCCATGGCACATTTGAATGGGTGGACAGCATGTTGGTTCAGGCCTTGAAGTCTGGAGATTGGCTTTTGATGGACAATGTTAACTTCTGCAAGTAAGACCCTAAGGCCTTATCATGAGTGAACCTACTTGAAATTTGGGCTGTACTTCTCAGTGTAGAAATTCAGAGGACTGTGCTGATGTTTTTTATCTGCTGTTTTTCTTGACTAGGCATACCTACTCGGCCACGTTCTGTAAATTTCTCCCAGTGGTGAATAATGGTAGTTTGTCATTAGACAGTTCTGTATGATAATTTTGAGCTGAACTAAAGGCTAACAAAATTGGATTACTTTTTTCAGGTGACATCCTTTAAGCCTTTTTATTTAATATCAGAATTTTTCTGCTATTTGTTAGGGTCATTCATCAGTGTAGATTTCTGAAATGTGGGATATGACACAGGGAAGGCATTTAGTAAATGATCATCGGTAATGAAATTATTTCAACCTTGTGTCACTTTGGATCCTACATTAAGGAAAAGTGAGAAACGACTATACGTAGACAGTTAACATAATAGCTGCTGCAGGCCATGCGATCGCTCTCTCTTCGTGGAGTTATTTTCTAAATGTTCTAAAAAGAAATCCAGCTACCTTAAGTGAATTTGATGTTGTTGAGGGCTGGAGTACAAGAAAGGAAAAGTGAAAGGGTTATATAGGGTGGAGAGTTGACCATTATTTTCTCCAGTTGCATTTCTTTATTCAACAAATATTTTGTGTATTTACTGTGTATAAAGCTGTGAGGTTTGTGCTTCTGGGAGTCAAAAGGGAACTCAGTGGGACCTCTATTCTCGAAAGAGATCACGGTTCTATTTAGGCAAGCGATCCCGGCTTAAAGGAAAATATGGGTCAGAAGCAGGCAAGGAAAGCACAGTCAACACAGTGTGTCAACCTGCCCGTCACTTGAATTTTCTCTGTGTAGCCCGTCAGTGCTGGATCGTTTGAATGCATTGCTTGAACCTGGAGGAGTCCTCACTATTAGTGAGAGAGGATTGATAGATGGATCCACACCCACAATAACACCAAGTCCCAATTTCAGGTATTTCTCTCTTAAGTTTCTGCCTCATAATCTGACAGCCTCAGTAGCAGAGGTAGACATTTCGTAGGGCTTCCTTATGTGCTCTATTCACAGAGTCATGAGGAAGTTCATCCATTCATTCATTCAGGTAACAAATGTTTGCTGAGGCTCTGTTGTTTGTCGGGGACTGCTGGGCTCTGGGACAAGCATAAACGAGAGAGGCAAGGGCCGCCTTGAGTTGACGGAGGGCTGAAGCAGGGCGACCAGCCCAGTCCTTCTGTGGTAGTTCACATGAGCAACGATGATGGCTTAGACTACGGGTGGTCAGATGGGTGAGACTTGGGGCTTGAGAGGAAGAGGACGCGAGGATGTCAGGAACGTTTTTGGCTTGAGGAATTGGGTAGGTGGGGCTGGCATCCATTGAGAAAGGGAAGACTGACAAAAAAGGAGCAGGTTTGGGGCAGCTGGGAATTAGCTGCTTAGTTTCCGACACAAGTGTGCATGAGGTGTCGGAGCCAGATGGAGATGCTGATGGGCATTACGTATATGAAGCTCATTGTTTCAGGAGAACACACTGCTCCCTTTTTTGCTCTCTGTAGGGGACTATCTGGAGGAAGATTTTTAAAGTTCTCAGATAACACTAAAAGTGCACTGGATGTGCAATGCATAGTTCCATAGGAAGGTGAGTTTAGAGAAACTGAGTTGCTATATTGATGCATGTTAGAAATAAAAGATGGACTGCAAGTGATGGTAGCACATTCGGGTTAATGGTATTTGTCTCGATAACTCCCTGAAGATGAAAAGCGTATGGTTTCCCTTCACTGTTACTGAAGTGCACCGTGGTTACACTGGGATTTAAACTATTTCTTTTCTTTGAATTGCTGTTTTCCTAGGCTTTTTCTCTCAATGGATCCTGTTCATGGAGAAATATCCCGAGCTATGAGGAATCGTGGACTTGAAATCTACGTTTCAGGGGAATGGGATGAGAGCGTTCCTGACAACCTGGACTTGAAAGCTCTGCTGCACAGCCTTGGGTTGGTAGGGAACAGTGTGTGTGACATCCTCTTGGCTCTACACGCAGAGACCCAGAGCATGGTTGTAGGTAAGGTACTTGACTTCGGGGCCTCTTTGGAGTTCTGGTCTTCTAGAAATTTATGTTTTTCCATTGGGCTGCTATCCGGAGAGTTCCTACATTGAGTGTATACAGAAATAGGAATTACCAGGAAAGTCTGTAATAAATGTAGTTGTCCAGATTCCCCTAGAGATTGGGTTTGGTTGGGCAGGGTGAGGCACTGGAATCGGTGTTTTAATGAAGCTCCCAGGTAATTTTGAATCATGCAGTCAAAGGCCAACACTTTGAGGGATGCTGCTTTGGGCACTGGGATTCAGGAAGTTTGCCCACCATAGCGCCAGGTCATTAATGGCCTCTTGAAGGTGGGATACAGAGGAAACTTTGAGTTGCTTAAAACATATATGTATGACTTCTTCTAAATGTTTAATTATATAAAAACAAGCAGTAATAATACATGAAACACTGTTTATTGAGTAATTGTTATGTATTAGGTACGATGCAGATTGTTCATTCAGTTCTTACATTGGTTGTGCAAGGAACATGTTTCCATTTCATAGATAAGGCTCAGAGATTTGGAGTAACTTGTCAACGTCAGTCAGTTAACTAATGACAGCTGGGATTTGCAGACAGGTCTGTTGGATTTCAAAACCCATGGTTCTTTAGGAGGCCACACTCATTTGACCATCTTCAGTGTCTATCAGCTTAGATTAAGGAAACATGTGCCTAGGCTTATCACTCTTGTGAATGAGTCCTCCACTTACCTGCAGGTAGCCAGAGAGAGCGAAGGGGGAGAAGATAGGTAGAAATACAGATGTTCCCACAGGTCTCCTGTGCCCTTATAGTCTACGTAGAAGATTTTTAAAAATAGGTGTCTGGGTGGGCTTGGGTAGAAGGAGGTTTGATGTGAGGGCAGAGTTTACTCATTTTCATTGACGATTTTAAAGAATCTGTCGCTTATATGTGGCAATTTTTTTAATAGGTACTCCAACATCTTCTGTGTCAACTCTGATTCAGACAGCCATACTCATTGTCCAGTACCTGCACCGAGGGCTGAGTTTAGACAGAGCCTTTTCTGAAGCATGCTGGGAAGTGTATGTCCGTTCCCAGCATTCACCAGCAAACCGGAAGGTACTATGAAGTGTTTCAGACATTTTGTAAATCATCCTTCTACATCACTGAGTAGGAGGAAATAATAATAATAATAATAATAATAATAATAATATTATTTTGGCACGCTCACGGCCACCACAGCCTCGACCTGCTAGGCTCAGATAACCCTTCTGCCTCAACCTTCCAAGTAACTGGAACTATAGGCATGTACCACCCCACCTGGCTAATTTTTTGATTTATTGTAGAGATGAGGTCTCTACAAGTTACCGAAGCTGATCTCGAACTAGCAGGCTTAGGCAGTCCTCTCACCTCGGCCTCCCAAATTGCTGGGATTATAGGCATGAGCCACCGTGCCTGGGCAGGAAATTATTTTTAAAGATGGCAGGCAACCTTAAAGACCTGAGAGAGTTGTTCACTGCAGTTTTGCTGTGAGAGAAATCTGGTATCTGGGTACTTTCCTGGAAAATAGCTTTAATGTTAAATTCTTTAGTCGAAGCTTACTGTCATTAGCAAAAGTAGAATTTAACTTATGGTGTTGTACATTGAAGAATGTGTACAGGGGTGGGGGGCAACAATCTTGAAATTTATAAAAAATTGTGTGTGTATTCGTACATGTTTAAACTCTAGTAATCTTCAAAGTACTCTCTGAGGCAGTCCACCAGCCAAGCCTCTATTTCCCCTGCTCAGAACAGTTTTGAACCTGTCGGTGTTGATTCCTTTAGTGCTTCTGCCGTTTTTTGTCTCACTTCTTCCACATGGGCAGAATGTTTCTCTGAGGACTTTTTTCATCTGGGAAAACCAAAAAAAAAGTCTCTCAGGGGAAGATGGGATGAACAGGGAGGATGGGGCACAGAGGTCATGCGGGTTTTAGTCAAAAACTACTGAACATTCAGTGAGGTGTGGGCAAGTGTACTCGTAAATCACCCATCATGAACTGGGGAAATGTGTTGAAACAATCTCCAAAAAAAAAAATTTGCTGAAGCGGAACACTGCCTCTCCCAACAACACTAGCTGGTACACTTATGCCAATGCGTTCCTAGAACACTTACCTTGCGGGGGCGGCCCGTACTACAAAGGGTTTGCCCTCCAAAGAGAATTCCGTGATTTTTCGGCCCCCCTTTGTGTGAAAGTCGTTGTGAAATGGTCACATGGACTCTAGAAGACGGTTCTTCATGTCCTGATTTCTTTGTGGGAGGAAGGGGCGAGCACTTATGTGTTGGGGCCTCTGTACCATGTGTCTTTATCTTCTACCAGCTTGTGCAGTCTTTACTAGAGAAACATGTGTCTTCTCTGAGAGCACATGAAACCTGGGGAAACGCCATTCTTGCCATGGGACTGTGGCCAGATTCTGTGCCCTCAGCTCTCTTTGCCACTGAAGATTCTCACCTCTCCACCGTCCGAAGTGATGGGCAGATCTTGGCATATTGCCTCAACAGGATGAGCCTGAAGACCAGCAGCTGGGTGAGGTCAGTGGAGCCCTTGGGCATGTGTGTGTCACTTTGGATTCTTGACTGGGCTTTGCTATCACTGGAAACGGTCAGGACACTACTCAACCTGAGCGTTCTGTGGCTGTTCATTATCCAACCATCACGGGTTTATTGTTCATTGAGCTGTTGCTCCCTATTTATTATTTGTCAGGTGTATGTTTTCATTGTCTTCCTTGGTGGGACACTCATCTTTTCCCTCTTGTCTCTTTGATCCAGTGCTTGTAAAATCCGTTTTCCTAGTTTTTTGAATTGTGCAATAAAATGTTTCCCTATTACTAACTTTGCCCATTCATATTCATTTCAGGAGTCAGCCTCTCACTTTGCAAGACTTAGAAAATATTATGCAGTCCTCCAACCCTGAGAACCTGAAATTCAGTGCAGCTGAATTGGATACTTACTGGATTGACGAGCCAGATGTTTTGGCCATGGCTGTTAAGTTGCTCATAGAAAGAGCAACCAATCAGGATTGGATGCTCAGAGTTAAATGGCTTTGTCATTTAGCCAAGAACATACCTCAAGGGCTTGGTGAGTAGAAAAGCTTCTTTTGTCCAATGAGGGGAGATTTATATACACTTATACCATTTAAGTGCTTCAACACTATGTTAATCTATGGCTACACTGTTATAATTACAGGATGACCAGGCGTGGTGGCTCATGCCTATAATTTGAGTACTTTGGGAGGCTGAGGTAGGAGTATCATTTGACCTCATGTCTTTAAAAAAAAGAGAAAAATTAGCTAGGCACCATGGGATGCACCTGTAGTCCCAGCTGTCCAGGAGGCTAAGTCTAGGAGTTTGAGACTGTGGTGAACTGGGACCACACAACTACACTCCAGCCTGGGTGACAAATGAAACCCTGTCTCAAAAAATTACAGGAGGGATATGTCCCAAATTTGGCAGCTAGCATTATTACTATGTCTGTAGCTGAAAAAAAATTAAGGAACAAGTCTGTCTTTAGAGGTATCACAAGAAAAACTTTTGTTCCCATGTAATACTTAGCATTTCGGGATATGTCCGCCTGTCTATCAAATTCCAAAAGAAAACAGACTGTATTCTTATTTCTTAGTTTTTAACATCTGCATTTTTTGCTGTACAGCCATTCTATCTGGAGAAGGTATACCTTTTGATACATTCGTTTCCCTAAAAGAGTAGATACGATTCTAATCTTATTATAATTCTAGCGCCCTGTGTTGTCACACTTGCAGTTGTCCCTTGGTATCCGTGGAGGGTTGGTTCTTGGACTCCCTGTGGATACCACCATAAGTGGATGCTGAGGCCCCTTATGATAGTATTTTCATAGCATCTGCATACATCCTCCAGTATTTATTTTTATTTTTATATTTGTTTTTTGTACAGACGAGGTTTTGCTATGTTGCTCAGGCTGGTCTTGAACTCCTGGGCTCAAGCAGTCTGCTCACTTCAGCGTCCCAAAGTGCTGATATTACATGCGTGAGCTACTGTGTCCGTCTACCTCCTGTATACTTTAAACCATCTCTATATTACTTATGATAGCTATGCAATGTAAATGCTATGTAAGTAGTTGCTGTACTGTGCTTTTTAACTTGTATGATTTTTTGATATATTGTTTTGCTTTTTTTTTTTTTTAAAGTTTTTGAGTATTTGTAATGTGTGACTGGTTGAATTCTGACATTGTGGAACCCTTGGGTACAGAGGGCCAACTGTACTTTTTGTACTTTTTTCATTTAAGAGGAGGAAAAAGCAATAATAACATCATTGTCTGGATTGTAAAGTAAAGGACATGGAATTTATTGGTGCAAATTAACTAAAGTAATTGAGATGAGCTTTTCTACTTCATGAGAATTTATATAAAAGCCATTGAATGTGGGTATTGTTATGTGACATGTGGAAATGTCTAAATATGTGTAGGGAGAATTTGTGTAAATATCCTTATGTGGCTTGTCCTGTGTAATAGCCACTAGCCAGTCACAACTACTAAATATAAGGTTGTTTGAATTAAATAGAATCTACAATTTAGCTCTTTAGTTGAACTAGCCACATTTCAGTTTCTCACGTGTGAGTATGGCTACCCTGTGACAGTGCATCTGTAGAACATTCTCATCGTTGCAGAAAATTCCGTTGGACAGCACTGCTTTAGAGTCTAACATTTGCTTCTCTACTTCCTCTGCAGAGTTTGTACAGATTCTTTTGGAAGCCAGTGCTGCATCTCTTAGGAATTTTTACTCAAATTCCCTCTCATCTGGGGTTAGTAATATTATCAAAATATTACAACCCAATATAACAGGTATGTATGGACTTGCTTTTGATTTCTAGCTCTTAGTGTTGTTTTAGAAACTTGTCCATTTCATTCATGGGGAAAAGACCTATCAGAGCTCCCAGCATAACATTTTTTAGAAGACTCACTATGTGCAGACACATCTTCTTTCTTGTTTGAAACTATCCACTTATCCTCCAGCTTCTGAATGAGGCTGATGGCACACAAAGGAGTGGGAAGAACCCAGAAGTTGGAAGACTGGGCTCTGGTTCCAGCTCCATCACAGGCTGGCCTTTTGAAAACACAGTCTCTGCCTATGTTTGAAAACTAGGGGAATTTAGCTCTTACTTCTCTAAGTTGTCTTGCACTTTTAACGTTGTGTTGTTTACTAGTACCATTAGAAGGAAGAGTTTTAAACCATGAGATATTTGACTTGAAGGGAAGTCCGCAAAGGATCCATTAACTTCAGAAAATATAAAACCTTAATGATATCTGGGCATGGTGGTGAGCACCTATAGTCCCACAGGCAGGAAGATCACTTGAGCCCAGGAAATCAAGGCTGCAGTAAGCTGTGACTAGGCCACTGTATTCCATCCTGGGCAACAGGATGAGATTCTTTGTCTTTTTTTTTTTTTTTTG